AGCGGTGAAGTGAAGCAAACTGTTGGAGAAGTGATGCTGCCTGTGTATGCAGGGAGGAGTCAACAGACAGACGAAGTTTATGATATTGGATTGCGCCTCCGCATACAACGCAATTATGGGACGTCCATGGATTCATGACATGAGAGCTATACCATCGACGCTCCACCAAACCATAAAATTTCCTACTCCTTGGGGAATAAGAGAGATCAAGGGTGAACAAGAACACTCACGCTCGTGCTATCAGACGTCCTTAAAAGGGAAAAGCCATCAACTATATCAGCTAGAGAGCAAGCCGTCGATCCCCCATACCGAGGAACCAGAGGTAGAACAACTTGACGAGGTACCATTAACTAAAGACGATCCGGATAAGAAGGTCAATATCGGATCCAAGCTACCGACCGACGTACGACGAAGACTCATTGATTTTCTAAGATCCAATGCTGACTGCTTTGCTTGGTCACATGCCGACATGCCGGGGATCGATCCTGAGATCATTATGCACAAACTACAAGTCGATCCTGAACATCAGCCAGTAAGACAAAAACGAAGGAAGTTTGCTCCCGAACGTGATTTGATCATCAACAAAGAAGTGGAGAACCTACTTGAGGCGGGATTCATTCGCGAAGTACGCTATCCTGAATGGTTAGCTAACGTTGTGGTCGTTCGAAAAAAGAATGGAAAATGGAGAGTGTGCATCGATTTTACTGATCTCAATAAGGCATGTCCGAAAGACCCTTTTCCGTTACCACACATCGACAAACTAGTGGATGCTACCGCAGGTCACGAGCTGATGAGTTTCATGGATGCCTTCAGTGGGTACAATCAGATCTTGATGCACCCTAGCGACCAGGAGAAGACGTCTTTCATGACCTCACGAGGCATATACTGTTATAAAGTAATGCCATTTGGATTGAAGAACGCTGGATCGACCTACCAGAGGCTCGTCAATATGATGTTCGCTGATCAAATTGGTTATACTATGGAGGTGTACATTGACGACATGCTTGTGAAGTCGTTGGTGGCAGAGGATCATATCATGCACTTGCAACAAGCCTTTGCTACCTTGCGAAAGTACAACATGAAGCTAAATCCTACGAAGTGTTCATTCGGTGTAAGCTCTGGGAAGTTCCTTGGTTATATTGTCACTCACCGAGGGATCGAAGCGAACCCAGACCAGATAAGAGCGATACAAGTTATCCCTTCGCCGAAAAATGTGAAAGAGGTACAGAAACTAACCGGAAGAATGGCTGCTTTGAGCAGATTCATCTCAAGACTGTCCGACAGATCTCATACCTTCTTTGCTGCTCTGAGAAAACCGAAGGACTTCATGTGGGATGATAAGTGCGAGAAAGCATTGAAGGAACTGAAGAACTACCTAACATCACCCCCTCTTTTATCTAAACCAAAAGATGGAGAAGTGCTGTTATTGTACCTGGCAGTGTCGGACCACGCCGTCAGTGCTGTTCTGGTTCGAGAAGAGGAAAATAAACAGTACCCTGTTTACTACGTCAGCAAGTCGCTCCTAGACGCAGAAACGAGGTACAGTCAATTGGAGAAATTGGCCTTAGCGTTGATAACAGCAGCGAGGAAGCTACGTCCCTACTTCCAAGCTCATCCTATTGTGCTTGTCAGCTCAGCTCCCATAAAGGCGGTTTTACATAAACCAGAAGTATCAGGAAGATTAGCAAAGTGGGCAGTTGAACTTGGCGAATACGACGTCATATACCGACCGACTATCGCCATCAAATCACAGGTGCTTGCGGATTTTGTGGCGGAATTCACCCCCAATTTGATTCCTGAAGTGGAGGAAGAGGTGAAAACCTTACAAGAAGGATCTCACAAGGGAATTTGGAAGCTGTATGTCGATGGGTCCAGCAACATACGAGGTACATGCCTTGGGATGGTTATAACTTCTCCGACAGGGGAACTTGCATCAAGAGCAGTTAGGTGCAACTTTCGAGCCACTAACAATGAAGCGGAGTATGAGGCATTGATAGCAGGACTGACGCTGGCTCATGATCTTGGAGCTAGAAATCTAGAAGTGTACAGCGACTCACAACTCATAGTTAACCAGATGCAAGGAGATTACCAAGCACGAGATTCGAAGATGACGCGGTATATGAACGTAGCAAAGACGATTGTGGAAAAATTCGACGATTGCAAACTCGCACAGATTCCAAGAGAGGAAAATTGTCATGCGGATGCTCTTGCCAATCTTGGATCAGCCCTTAAAACTGAAGTTTCGACTAGCATTCCACTATTAATCTTGCAGTGGCCGGCCACAGACAAGGATTTACCAAATCTAGAAGTTGCATCAGCGGATGTCGCTCCGAATTGGATGACACCTATCATCAACTACCTAAGAGACGACCTACTACCATCTAATCGTAGGGAATGCAGGAAAATAAAACAACAGGCAGCACGCTTCTGCCTATATGAAGATAAGTTGTACCGCAGGTCGTTCTCTAGTCCTTACTTAAGGTGCATTACTCCAGAAGAAGCAAGGCAAGTTCTAATGGAGTTGCATCATGGAGAATGTGGATCTCACTCAGGTGGACGAAGTCTAGTATTAAGAGCGGTGAGAGCCGGATACTATTGGCCGACGATGTCGAATGACGCGACAAGATTCGCTCGTCAATGTGACAAGTGTCAGAGACATGCTCAAGTGTCGAAACTACCTCCAGAGAATTTGAAAAGCATAAGTTCGTCATGGCCATTCATGAAATGGGGCATGGACATAGTGGGAAAACTACCAACAGCGCCAGCACAAAAGGTGTTTCTCTTGGTAATGACTGATTACTTTTCTAAGTGGGTGGAAGCAGAGGCATTTAGTCAAGTCACAGATAAAGAAGTCAGAGGTTTCATATGGAGGAACATCATATGCAAATTTGGAGTTCCTCAAGAGATTGTCACTGACAATGGCCCTCAATTTACGAGCAACAACTTCAAAAACTACTGTATCACGTGGGGAATAAAGCTTAGCTTCGCGACACCCAGGCACCCACAATCCAACGGACAAGCTGAATCTTCAAACAAAACCATTATACAGATGTTGAAGAAACGGCTTGAAAGCGCAAAAGGCAAGTGGGTAGAAGAGCTCCCTGGCGTGTTGTGGGCTTATCGAACGACATCCAAAATAGCAACTGGGGAAACACCTTATTCTCTAGTGTACGGGATGGAAGCGGTAGTGCCATCTGAAGTCACTGTGAAAACGATACGAACAGAGCATCTACAATACCAAGAAAACGAGGAGCTGATGAAGCTCGACCTCGACCTACTCGATGAGAAAAGGGAAACTGCAAGGATTCAAAACTGGTGCTACCAACAGGACATCGCAAGACGATACAACAAAAACGTGCGAACTAGGACTTTCCAAGTTGGCGAATGGGTACTCAGGCGCGTCTTTCAAAACACGATGGAACGTGGTGCTGGAAAACTGGGGCCGACTTGGGAAGGTCCCTACAAGATAACAGAAGTGCGAGGATCAGGTGCATACAAGCTACAAGATAAGGATGGGAAGAATCAACCTAACAGCTGGAATGCTTTGCACCTCAAAACCTACCAATTCTAGGTTCGTTTGATAATTTGATGTTTTGGCTTTTTCTTTGGTTTTGATTTGGTGTTACTGAGTTTTTAGACGATCCATGTGACGTCGATGCTTTTATCTACTTTTATGTATTTGCTTATGTCTACGGACAAGCTTTCTAATAAGAAGTTTTCTACAAATTGATTCTACTATGATGTAACTCGTGTTGTCACTCGTCATAAGGCATAAGAAAGATAAGCGACAGTCGGAACACAGTGACGACCGACCAAAAAAAAGAAAAAAAAAAGGGGGCAATGCCTCAGGAATAAATCGACCTTAGACCACATTGCAAAAGGCAAGTGTCATGTCCTTGAACACACCAAGGAACGAACGAAAGTTCTGCACGATAGGAAGGAGAACGCCCTCCTCGAAAGCAGAAAACAGTGACATGCGCATAGCAATATTATTCACGTTTAAAGCTTCTTATACTGAATTTGGTTATATTGCGCACCGTCTGTGTCGATATGGTCAAACACGAGGTACGATATCCTCGAGAGAGCGACAACCAGCAGCCTTGGTTTACTCCATTGGCGCTAAATGTCACCAACAGCCAAGAGCAAAACATCCTCAAATCGAGTAGAGAGACTATTGTCACTCTTAACCTCGAGAATAAGGATATAGCCCAAAGGAAAATAACGTTACGTACGTACACATATAAATAACTGTTGAATATATAAAACACAATTATATAAAAAATCAACAATGGTTAAATACCAAATGATTAAGGCGTTCGATAAGCGACTTAAAATCCAAAAGACAACCACAAAAGTTTAGCTGAGAGCCTACATGGTCACTCGTCAGAGCAACAAACCTTAAACAGAGGAGCTCCAAAAGAAAAGTTTGAAACAATACTAAAAACCAGAGTTCAAGGAAACTGCTAGTAGAAACGATAAACGACAAACGCGAGATCACTGATCACCACCAAGGGGAAGACCACCATAAGTATCACCACCAAGTATCCCACCAGTAGGAGCTTCGTTCTCAAAGTCAGTAAATGTCGCAGAGAAAACGGGTGGTACCTTCCCTTCCGCTTTGGCTTCCGCTGTCAAAACCTCACGATAGGCCTCCTCTGCAGCACGAACGTCCCATGTATGAGCTTGACCCATCTTGAGGTCTCTAACCATTGCCCACTGCCTCTTGATGGCTCCTGCGCTAGCTGCTTTAAGTGCGTTCTTCTCTGAGCGACGAAGGTCAAGTCGTAGCTTGTTCTCTGCGGATTTCAAAGCCGCTATCTGCTGATCATGGTCAGTCTTCAGTGAAAGAATCTCTCCATCTTTCTTAGCCATGTCAGTGTCATATCGCTCCTTCCCTGAGACGAGGTCCGCTTTCGCCTTGGTGAGGATGTTGTTGAGACGCTTGTTATCCTTGGAGACGGCGGCGAGCTCCACCTTCGAAGAATGGCAGGCAGACATCACCTAGATACCGAGAAAAATCGACGTTCAAAGGAGCAACTCGCAAGGGAACGACGTACAAAAGTTGTGAAAAAGAATAAATTATAACCTTGAGAAGGTAAACTTGTGACTCGTCAAGGACAGCAGCATGGCCGAGTTTGCCGAAGCTCTCCACATCTCGAGGAAAAGCTTTCTTGTTGAGATCGGCAAGCACATCGGAGTGATCGACATTGGAGAAGAGATCACCGGTGGAAGTTTTTCTCTTTGAGGCACGAGAAGGACGAAGATTGTCAGTCGGTGCAGCAACTTGCTTCGGCAAAGCATTGGAGCTGGGCGGGATCTCTGTGGTTACGATCGTGAGATCGTCCTCCATGTCATCTTCGTAAGCAGCTCGGAACGCAGCTAGGGCACCTCCGCCTGTCGATACATCAAACGCAGACATCCTGTAACCTGCAAAACGTGGTCAATGGCGATAAGGCACGGTGCGACAGACATGTAATATTGATAAAAGTGATCTCCGAAAAACAGAAGGAATGAAGTTACCCCAAAGAGAACTCTTCTCCAAAGCGAAGCAACTGACTAGGAAACTCACTAAACGCTCCGGCTTAGGACGTACAATTAGCTTGAGTGCACGTTCTTCTCCTTCTTCGCACCTTGGATGACTGAAATCTGCAAAAAGAAAGAACAACATTGTTAAAGATCATGGACAGCGACATAAGATGAAGTACAAGCGGCTATCTACCTCTAAAAAACCAATCAACAGGGAAGTTGGGGTTAAAGCCCACTTTCATAAACAAGAATCTACTCTGCCATTTCTTCTCATAAGGCAAATTCCTCACTGCGCCTCTATCATAGTCATAGACCAAAGGTGGAAACGACGTCGTACGTTTGCTAATCGTACACCTACTAGCATCCACGTTATGAGCCTTGAAGAAATAAGAAAAAAGCACTTCCTCCACCCTCACGTCTACATTGTTGAACTCTCCAAGGACTTGTAAAGCGATTAACACTCTCCAAGCAGTAGGAATAAGCTGTCCAGGAGAAATGTTGAAAAACCGAGCGACATTGGCGATTATAGGGGGCATTATCCCACGAAAACCTATGTCAAAATAAGCCTCATAAACCACGATCTCATCTGATCTTGAGTTATGCGCCCTCTCTGTGTCAAGGGGAGCTCTAAGCGACAATGAATCTGGGAGGCTATACGTCATTCTCAGCGCCTTAATATCATCCTCTTTAATTGATGAGGCTGGGTAATCACGAAATGGAGTCGACAGACGAACTGCACATCCGCGCTTCGGTCTAATCTTAACTCCGGGCATCAAAACTGGCTCACTCATGTGAAAGGGGTATTGAAAGTCAGATTCGGTATGTCCTACTGACACAATAGCCTTATCCGAGACAGAACGACATCGATGGAACCCGAATCTACCCCTCGTCGGTGACTCTTGATACATGTAAACCGGAGAATCGCAGTCGATGTCGTGTTCACTTCCGGAGTCGGGGGCAGACTCATCGTCGAACTCACTTTCACCGTCACTCGAGTAAGAATCTAAGCCAACAGAGTTCCCTAACCTACTAGAGCTACTCAGCCATCTAACTCGACCTAAACGAGAAGAGGGAGAGAGGCTGTTTGAACTCACCAATGAAATAGTGTGAAAGCAGCAGCGGTTGTCGAAGAATAGCCCCCAACTAATCAGAAAAGATTGACCTGAGAAAAGGAACACATAAGATGAGTGGTCGAACGACGCTCAATTTGAGTAAAGAAAGAAGAAAAGAGAAAATTCACTGTCGAGTGAAATAAAAATCCGAAAGGAGCAAGAGAGAAATGGAGGAAGGAGCTTACCAATGGCTGCCGCTTTCGTTCCCGAGATGGAAAAGACGACTAGACTAATTAACCAAATTGGAGAAAGACATGCGATGGGCTTAAGTGAATGGTTCTGTATTGGGCCTAGCTGATTCTGAAATTGATTAAGAAATGCAATTTGGCTGCATATGTTAAAACCCACGTGGAAAACATATCAAAAGAAGAATAAGCAAAGCACTTGTCCATCTCCATTTTTTATTAATCCCATGTGGATACTTGAAAGCACGACCGACCGACCGGCATGAACGTCTTTTTTGTTTTGTTGGATATTTTTATTCAACACTTATCTTCTTACTTGCGTGCGACAGACAAATGAGCATATAGGTATGACTTTCCATTTTGCTATTCGATTTATTTCTTTTAAGTCTGTCACTCTGTGGGCACGTCCACACTTGTGGATAATTCAAAAGGAACCATACCACTTGACGGTATATACCTTTTGGTAGATTGGCTTCGAAAGACCGAAGCATGAATTTCTTTTTAGTTTTCTACATCGACATTGGTAAATGACCCACAGTCACATATGATATTATCGAGCATCGACCGACGATTTTGTAAGAGATGTTACTCTACAAGTTCTCAATGAGAAATTGAAGAGTAGGGGGCAAGTTGTTGGTGAAATAAATTCACTAACCTCTCCCTCCTCTTAATCTGCTATAAGCTGGAAATGTCGTCGACCGACGGCCACGACAACCGGTGGATCCTATCTCTTATTGTCTAAATGGCATTGACACCGGCATGACAAAGCAGCGACCAACGATGTTAACTAATGGTTTAGCAGTAACCAATGGTTTATACAATTTCCTAAATCTATTGGAGTTGCATAAAGGACCGACGCGCACTTCTAAGGAAATTAGGAATCACGACCGACGTGGGAAATAGAAAGTTATGATCGACGTCAAAGCCCAACTCGATAAGGACTAGGACCGACAAACACCTATAAATAGGAGGTCCTAGAACCGAGAGACATATACACAAGAAAAACACACAAAAACCCTAATAGCTACTTGTTCTTCGCCTCTCGACGAGCAAGCGACGAACAACCTAGATACGACGAACTACGATCTACGACGAGCGACAGACGAGATTCTCTTAGTTTAATCTTTGATATTGACTTGTTGTAGCTCGATATTCAATTGATTAATAAGATATCTTCTCCTGCGTCATTCCGTTTATTGTACTTGCGAACCGGTTAAATTTTGCCCAAACAATATCTTCTTCTGCTTTCATTGAGAATTGTATTCTCTTTAAGAACTAAGGTGGTTCAGTAGAACATTCACATGCATACAAAACGTTATCTAACGGTGATATAAGACAGTAGCAGTTAGAATGTTGATATCCGCCAACCATTCTTTAAGACCATCTGGAAACTCTTATAAAGCATTGTAATCGAGAGCTGTGTTCTCTTTAAGAAATATAGTGGTTAGAGGGAGCATTCACATGAATACAAAAAGGATGGTGAGCCATAAGCTGTAGAACTGAATGTCGACAATAATTGGCGAGGCCATAAGGGAGAAACATAGTGAGCTATATAATATTTGAATTAGATAAATCACTTTCTTTAAGGTATGCTGGCAAAGGGTCACTACAAGAAACCTAATTTTTATTGTAGTTTTTTCTTAAAGTTAGCATCATTTAAAAATTGATGGAAAAGTTATAGCATCACTTTTTAAAATGAGGTGAAATTCAATGATACGCCTCATTGGTTGTGGCTGTGGTTTTTGATTTTTGGCTATAGAATTTAAGTTATAGGTTTTAGTGATGTGGCTTTAGTTTCTAGTGTTGTAAGATTTTTTTTGTTGTAAATTGTGTATTAAATGAAATATTAAAACAAAAGAGAAGATATAGAAATAATAGATTAAATAAAGAATATACACAAAATAATAAGGAAGGAGAAGAGATAGAAGGAGAGCATGATTTGTAATTTTAGTGCTCTAGAAAAATTGTGAGAATTTAGAATTTAGAGAGCGTTAAATTTAGTGCTCTATGTTTCAAAAATGAAAAGAGATGGAAGGAGAACATGATTGGTAATTTTGGAGTGTTGTAGAGTTGTGGATCCCACCAATCACCCCTAACTAAGGGCCTGACTGGTTTAACCGCTGCGGTTGCGGTTGCGGGTGCGGGAGTTTGCGGAAGCGGGCGGTTGTGATTAGTAGCGTTATTAAGCGGTTTGTACGACTGGCATAACAATTGAAAATGGATGCGTTTGCGGGTTACTTATGACTGGTTCACTTGCGGATGCAATAGCGGTTAAACAATAAATTAATAATATAAACACATTATATAATTATAAAAATATCAAAACTATATTATAATGAAAATTTTAAATTTATGGTTCAACATAATTAAAAATATTTTTTTATAAAGAATAATATGTGTATAATACTTACGTCTATCTTTTAATTTCTATAATTTAAATAAAAATGTGATTTTATTTTCAAAATATATATTTAATGTGAAAATTAAATTTATTTTACAATTTTATTTATTAGATATATATGTATTAGTATGAAAAGAATATTTATGAAGAGAATTTTGATTTGTAGAACTTATAAATATATAAGTATTATATGATTTTAATGAATATTGACTAAAAGTACTAATTTTTTATTTATATTGTGATTTTATTATCCAAATCTTATTTTTTAATAAATATTATTATTTATTTTCGGATTTTATATAAGTTTGTGTTTTTTTTTTTTTTTAATTATCCACCCGCAACCGCCCGCAACCGCAAACGCTTGCGGAAAGGAGCTTTTGATTTTCAGCGATATAGAGCGGTACAGAGTGGTATAGAGCGATTCAAAGCGGTTGTCGTGATTGTTATAAACCGCCGAAAACCGCTACGAACCGCAAACGCTGCGTTTGCGGGTGGTAGCGGGAGAACCAATCAGGCCCTAAGTTTTTTATTTTATCACTTTTACAAATGACATAAAAATTACATTTTAGGATCATTTAGTTATAAGTGATGCATTTGTAAAAGTGATCCAAAAATGAAATTAAGATCATTTGTAAAAGTGATGTTAAAAATAGATTAAAATCATTTGTAAAAGTGATGCTAAAAATGAGATTAAGATATTTGGTAGAAATGATGCAAAAAATGAGATTAAGACTAAAACTAATGCTAAAAATAAGATTAAAATAAAATAAAAACAGCTATGCTAAAAATGATGTCATAGAAGAAATGTCGATAAATTTTAATGTCCTTATATAAACCAAAATATTTTTCATTACATATTATGATATTATCAATGCAAAATAAATAAAAATATCAGAATGAATATCATCAAACTTTAGAATGTCTCACAGGTCTTCTTCGTTGTATTTCATAGTGCGTACATATGTGTTAGAGGTCTTCTTCGTTGTATGTCTCCTTCACGTTAACTAAGCACTGAAAAATTTAACAAAGCTATATGCAACACAACTTCAGATAGTAGAACTTCAAAACTCATTGAAGCAGACTATATGCGATGATAAAACCCTGATTTCTGTATGAAGCAATCCGCTAAGACTAATTTTAATCTGTGTTACTAAGCAACCATAAACAATCCGATAAAACCCGTTAAGACTATTTGAGACACAACTTCAGAACAAGAGCATAGACTATTTACAACACAACTTCAGAATAAGAGCTAAGACTAATTAAGTATTTATAACAGAGCAAGAACGAGACTATGTGCAACACAGCTTCATCAATCACATAACAAAACTAATCACAACACAGCTTTAAGAGTATTGATTTTAGTATCATTTACAACTAAATGATGTACTTATTTATGTTTACATGTCATTTTAAGCAAGTGATGCTAAATTTTGTGATTAATTTAAAGTAAATGAACTAATAATTAGTACAGTTTGTACATAATGAACTTTTCTCTCAATTGCCTGGCTTTGTCATTTTGTCAGCACAGAACTTTGGGAAGACTGCTTAGCTTTTGAGTTTTGACCCTCAATTGTCATGCCCCAGCTAGGGTGTTTGATAATATTAAACACATAAAAAGAAAACCCCATTAATGATACCATAAGATAAACCTTCCATTTACAACTTTTCAACAAAACAAAAAACAGAGCAGAGACGATTACCAAAACATATCATTAGCACAATTTACATTTGTATCTTCTAAACCGAATCCAGAGGTAGTCCCAATAATAGTTTAGCATATGATCATCAGGACTCACACAATCCCACTTTCCATTACAGAATATCGCATATGCATCCGCTGCATACCTGTGGATATAATTATTTCTTCAACAAAAACAAAACAAGAAAAATTGATTTTTCAGATTATTTTGGAGAAACTTCAAAGGACTTACTTTCCAACGCCATGAAGTTGAGTGACATGAGTCCAATTCTCTTCAAGATACTCTTGAGACAGCCGTTGTATCATTTTGGCTCTCTTCTTCTGCATTCCAAGAGGCTTTATCAGAGTCTCTATTTCCTTTTCTTCAACTTCTGTTGCAGTCTTTGCGTCAGGACAGAGCGCAAACACGGCCGCTATCACTCCCCGCGTCTGCAAGCAAACCCTTTTCTTCACAAGAAGCTATGCAACAAGCAAAGAAAGATATGGAACATATGAAGGAGAGGAATGAGGAGTAAAACCTGAGCACCAGATGTTCTGTTAAGAAGCATACAAATGACAAGGACACGCCATGGATCACGCCAATGATCTTCTTGAAGAAGATTACATGGAGATCTTGGAGGCACCCATGTGTTATCCGGCGTCTTCCTCAGGTACGCCTCATCATTCTTCTGACTTCGAGACAGCGTAGGACTCACAACAGGAGTCTTCCTCACCCTTCTTGATCTTGATCTCTCTTTCTGAGATTCATTTTCTTGGGTTCCATCCGCAGCAGAGACGTCATGGAAATATCTTGAAACTTTCCTGACATTGTAATACTGACCCAAATTTCTTTGAACCTTCTTGGCTTGAACTTCGCCTGTTTCTTTCCTATCACTTCTTCTTCCACTCTGAGAAGAAACAACCTCAGAAAAAGTACATTGTGAATCAGCTGATGACTTGAAGTATGGAGAAACTCTTCTCACTTCAGCTTGAACTTTTTTGCATCTTTTGTTATGATATTTTCCACTCTGAGAAGAAACAATCTCAGAATCACATTGTGAATCAGCTGATGATTTAAAGTATGGAGAAACTCTTCTCACTTCAGCTTCAACTTTCTTGCATCTTTTGCTACAATTTCTTCCATTTTGAGAAGAAACAATCTCAGAGTCACACTTCTCTTTGAAGTAAGGAGAAACTATTCTCACTTCACTGCCTAATTCTTCCTTTTCAATAGAAACGCTATCATCAACAACAAGAGGACTATTATAAACAAACCCAGAGAACAAATCATCCAAATTTCCAACCAAATTAATGGAGCCTTCTTCTTGGCCAATTTCAGTCTCATCGATGCAACGAAAGTCTCGGACTTTATCACTATCCTCCTTAATTAAACCAGACGAGCGATTCTCATCACTAACCTCGACGGAATCGAAGTTTGGTCTGTCGTCTGAGTCCCGACGATTCATCTTCGTCACTGAAGTACCATCGTCGTCGTCACTGGCGGGTATCCGATCTCTCCTTCGCCGATACTTATAAATAAGTGGAGGAGGAACCATGTCGATTTACACACAGACACTCTCCTCAGTCTCAGCAAACAAGGAACTGAAACAGAGCATCCAATCCTCGCGAGCTCTCTTCTTCGGTTTGTAAACAAAAATGTCTGTAAATGACCAATTCAATTTTCCAGTCCTCAGTGTGTAACTCATTACTAATTAGAGGGGTTATTTTGTCAATTACGATTTTTGTTTTACTCCGTGTGGATAAAAGAACGTTTTTAGGAATTACTTGTAGCATAAATATATAAGGGATAATTAGAAATAAATGATCTTTTAATTTTAACATGATTTTAGTGATATAAAACATTTTTTATTTCCTGTTGACCAAAAAAAATTTATTTTTTATTTTCCAAAATGAATTACCTGCAGTATCTTATTATATAAAGCTGGATGCGCACGACGTGGTTGCGACACGTAGAATTTTTATAAAATATAGGATTGCGACATGTGTCATTTTTAATGTTATATCTGTGATTTAAAAAAATACAAATAAATGAACCCGCGTATACGCAGGGCCTAATCTAGTAATAAATATGAAAAAAAAAAATCCTTAATTATTATTCCTTTATTTCTTTTTAGTCGTCATTCAATATAATTTATAATATATATTTTTTTAATATAATGTTATCTTAGATTTAACAAGAATGCAAAAGTTAGATTGGTTTTCGAAGCTACTGTAGAAGAAATGTTTTTAAACATGTTTGGTTAATATGCATGGAAAAGTTTAAAATCCTAATTAAAATGAAAAAGATGAAATTATGTATTTTTTAAAAGAGAAAATCTCATTTATTTGATAAAAGCTTTTTATAGAAGGAAAATATTTAGCGTTGGAAACAAAAAAAACTTGGTTTGCCTTTTCGTTTCTTTTAGCCTCGTTAAGACCAATCGTGCATTGCATCCCTGGCCTATTGTGGTTTTGTTACCAAAAATAAGTTATCTTTGAAGATTTGAGTCGAATTTTGAAGTATATTCTCGTATGAGATCTTGAATATAGAGATTTTGATACAAACAAATCTTGATTCACTCACTCAATTGCATCTATAATTCTAGCCACCGTTCCATGAGTTACGCCGTCATTTAGACACCCGAAGATTGTATTAATAATAAATTTACAGATGACAGTGAAGAAAAGAGAGAACCAAAATTAAATATGATAGCATTTACTGGCCAAGTTATTACAATTTCCAAATGAAAGAAGTTATTTCCTTTTACTCCAATAATATTAAATGCATTCATGCGTTGCACCTTGTAATTCCATGAACAGAGCAACGCATGATTTGAAATTCCATGAATCATGGCAATCTATTTTCTTGTTTCCCTATTTTTCCTTCAAATTTCAAATCATTCTTCTCCCTCATAATAAAAGATCCCTCTTTATTCCTTCTCCATTCTGATATATTTTTCTTTAAAAAGCCAAAACACAAACACACAAAAATAAAACTATTTTCTCCGGAAAAAAGATCCAAGAAAAGCATATCAGCCATGGCTTCACAAGGGACGATACTAAAACTTGTATCTTGGAGAGTCAAAGATTGGGCTTCTTGTTTCTTGCCTTGCAAGATTCCCTTAGGTCTTCCTCTATTCTCTTCTTCCTATACTTTCATTAACATTTTAATCATTGTTTAACTAATTTTACCGATTATGTAAATATATCAATCAGACGTAGATGAAGATGGAGTTAATAATAACGCAAACAACAATAATCTAACGTTCAAGAAGATAAAGAGGAAGATGAAGAGTACTAAGAAGAAGAAATCAGAGAGGAAAGTCAGTCAAAGCCCACCAGTGACACGTCACCATCATAATCATCTTCATCTAACAAGCAGCAGCATTTCTCCGACGTCGGCCTCTCAGCCACCGGTTTCAAACGAAGGTGGCTTCATTGACTTCTGCTTTGACGGCGAAGACGGAGCTTGCAATGTTGTGAAAGAGGAGAAACAAAAGAAGAAAATGATGGAACTGACGTCTGAAAAGTCAATGAGGACAACCAATCCTAAGGTTCGTTTTCGTAAAACCCAATTCCTCTAAAATGTTTTATAACGTGTTCCTATTTAAAAATATCTTAGGTAAATTGAGGTCTTTATTTGTTTTTTTAAACGCATCATAAATATATATGTCTAACAAATAATGCAAAAGGGCCTACAAATAGAGAAAATAGAACGTTCTTAAAAACTTTGCCTTAAAATTTTGATTATTTTATTGCTTTTTCTTTAAGAACAGCTTATATGTGGAGATCAAGGTGTAGGAGGAAGTAAGAATAATAACTCGCTGGAATTTAAAGTGTCAGAACAAGATCATAGCGATAAGACTATATGCCAAGAAGATGAAGATGTCTCTTGCGATGTTGATGAGGTAATGTATGTTTCAACTTTTAAAACTTGAGAATTGGCCATTTTTTATTTATTCACTTTCGGCTGTTGTAGAATAACGAAGAAGAAGAAGAGGAAGAAGAAGAAGAAGAAGAAGAAGAAGAAGAAATTGAAATTGAAATCGATGCCTTTGATAAATCTAGCGAGTCTAATCACTCGGATGGAAGAAGGGGATCATTTGCATTTCCCATGTGAGTTTAATTTCAATAGAAAAAAAAGGGTTGATTTTTTTTGTTTGTTCTTGTATGGAAATATAGGGTTTCTTGAATTGATAATTTGGGATTGAAAACCATATGCAGATTGGGAGTTGAATGGATTGGGAGCCCTGTTCGGATGCCTAAGCTAGATGACTTGTCTCTCACGAAACAGAAGCCCGTTGCTTTAGGGTTCCAGTGCTGCAGATTCTGAAAAAAAGAAGAAGATAACATTCTAGAAGTGTGTTAAGATTGTTTTGTACTACTCTGTTTCTGAGTATAGAAATAGAAACTCTTTTGAGAGGATAGATAATCTACAATCCCGATTTTACATTTCTCAGTTTTTGGCTAAAGAGATGTTTAGCTTAAATTCTTCTTAAACACATTCATTGTAAAAAGTTTAATTGATTTTATATTCATTCAAAGAAAAAAAGGTAATGAATTCTTTGGTTTTTTCATGTCTTGGTGCCTTGGTGGTTACACATCTGCAACTGAAAAGATTTGAATGTACATCACCAATGAAAGAAAAAATATTATGTGATTAGGCTAGAGAATGGCTAGAGAATCTTCAGCTTGTGTTTCTTTTGCGCTAGATATGGGTTGGCTCAGGATGCATATTACCCTATATTTTAGTAGATAACTTGCAACATCAGATGCATATTAGTTGTTTAAAACTATATTGTAAATTGTATTAATGGAGATTTGTTTTTTCGTCAAATGTTCCACATCGTAATATGGTTGCAATATGCATATGGAAAACGAAAGGAAAAATATGTCTTGCTTGTTCTTTTTTCCAATTGGAGCTATATTTTCAGCTTCTTGGTATGTTCAAATGATAACAACATGGCAATCTATTATTTGTGAGGAGATTTCTTTGGAAAACACAGTTGTGTATCGATAATTATTTACCAAAATCAAAGTAAACGTGAACACTTCAAAGTTTAAAAAATAAAATCTTGACCACGACCATGAGAAGAGCTAAAGCAAGAGCAATGATTTTTTATAATTACTTTTTTTGTACTGCGATTTATTATATTTACTAACCAAGAATATGTTAGTTTGATTCAAGGATAATTTCGATGTTGTCTTAATTAAGAATCAAATGGAGTAGAAACTCTATACATTAATAAGCCAGACAAAATATAGCGAATGATTAGAAATTTAGAATCAAACTGAACAAAGTATAAATAACTGCCAAGATAACAAATACGTGTTTGGAATACATATATACTCTGAATTTTAGAGGTTAGGTGAAGGAAGAGTATTTGATCGAGGAAACAACTTTAAACTCGATCTCAACTTCCAAAGTGTCTTCCATGTCCAAATAAGTCTTCCGAAGATCAGCTAAAGACACGTACTGATACGATACGAACCAAAACCATCGTCTGCTGTTTCGAACCACGAGTTAACTACAATGTAATGATAACATACTGGTTAATATATACAAGCTCATTAGTATTAATGTAAATATTACAACATACTCTCGTAAGACAAGTGATTGGATCTATGCGGGTCTTCGACTTTCAGATCTGCCTTCACGTAAACCTTCTCATCATCCGATAAAATTTCACCATCAGCTAAATACAGAAAAATGGATAACCATTTACTATTTTCTGTAGCGTAGCCCTTAGGATACAAGCTTAGAACCCTACAAAATATAATTATCGACTAATGAAATCTCTTAGACACGCTCGTAGATTTATGTTTTAACCTATTTATTAAGCTAAAACAAATTACTTTTGTACTTACCATTCCCTTCCTCCCATTGAAAAACTGTCTGATGTGTGACGATGCACTTTTATCTCAGAGAAATTCGTAACAGTCCAAGAAAACTTGGGAGGAGGAAGTTCCACATCAAAAGAGAGGATTTCCCATTTGGTTGGAGGTGGAGCAACAATGACATCAACACCAAACTCACAATGATCTCCATCGTAGAGGACATATCCATTTCTAAGGTCATTGAATGTGTCAAGCGCAAGCACTTGCGGTAATCCCCACACCGTTCTTAATGTATTGAACGGCTTTGATTCCACAACTGAAAATATATATTTTCTTTATCAATTAATCAAAATATAGAGACACAAAGAAAAAGAAAATAAATATGTAAAGCAAAAAAGATAAACATAAAAATATATATATATATATATTTAGATACATACCTTGAATAGTGAAGTACTTGTCTTCTTTTTTGTTAAAGACGAAGAACCGTAGATCTGCATACACCTCAGATGATGGTGAGGACATGAGGCTTGCGCTATCTATTTCAACATACATTGAAACAAACCCACTCCCATTGTCCTTATCGTTCCCTTTAGGGTATATAATCAATGTCCTGAAAGTTTTAAGAACAATATTCATTAAGATAAGATGATACACACAATATAAGGGGACTAAATGTAAACATATACAATACACGTACCAGTTGTATCCACCAGAGGAGAAACGACGAAACTGGTATTTGCCATCAGAGTAGAGATTTGAGCTTTGGAGTTTGGAGAGGATTTGAACTTTGAGGGAATAGGAAGAAGGAGGACGTTCTCTCCAACTCTGTAGAGTTGTAGAAGATATGTTCGAACTCATTATTGTACAAAAAACCGCTTCGTAAGGTTGTAAGTTTTAACATTAGATCTAATGACAATTGATATATATATTGAAGGAAACGTTCATTAAGATGGTGATTGATGTTTTCAATGAAAAAAAAGATAATTACAAACATAGATGCTTTGGAAGTTGGAACATTTGCGGGAAGGCGAAACACTTTTGTAAAACAAAGATAATTACTTTTAAGTATTTAGGTTTAATTAAATATTTTAGTTATTAAAATTAAAGTAAGTACAAATTAAAATTTACATGTAACAGCTAGTTGGAGGTCTTGTATATAAGCATAGGAAAAATGTAGACCTTAATTACATAGGTTTTAGAAATTTTGTTATTATTGTACTCTTTTTTATAAACTGTGAAAGTTTGAGGTCTTTTACATAACTCTTGTATATATTGCGATTTAAAGAATATACCTCAAATATAGAAAAAGGCTAACTCCAGTAAAGTTCGGGGTCTTTTATATAGCTTTTGCCCGGAGTCAGCCTTTTTCTATTGCGATTTAAAGAATACACTTTCATCCTAAACGGGTGTTATTATAGCACTTACATTTTTTTTTAAGAAACTTTATTATTTATAGGTCTCTATTTATTTTTTTCCCATTTTTTTTACCGAAATTAATCCATAATTTTATTTATTTACTTTATCTTTTTACTCCTTTTATCTATTCCCAAATTTTAAATCTATCTCTTGAGGAAATTATATATTTTTAACTTTTAAATGATGTAAATCACATAAAATTCTTTATTTTTGTATTTCATAATACATCAATGTGTATACAATCAACGTTTAAAATATGATAAATCTAAATACAATTGTTTTGGTTACACAATTTAAAACTATATTTAAATTTCTCTAATTAATACTACGATTTATAAAAAAAATCAAGGGTTAATTTGGTGAATAATCATATTGGAAAAATATTAAGAATATAGCCATTACAAATGTTTGGCTATATACATAAATATATTCACAAAAATTACCTATATTAACCCTAAAGAAATACTATACTATTTATTGTTGTTGTAGAACAAAACTTCTACTAGATATTTAGGGTTTAGATTTTAGTTTAGAGTAATTTTTGAGTTTAGGGTTTACATATTGGTTTTATGATTTATATTTTAGGTTTTAGGTTTAGGGTGTAGAATCTAAAACCAAATACTAAACCCAAAATCCCAAAAATAATCTAAACCCAAAAATAAAATATAAACCCTAAACCCAAAATCTAAACCCTAAAGCCTAAACTGAAAAAAAACTAAACCCTAAAACTATAATATAAACCCTGTTTTAAGAAAAAAAGTCTAAAACCCAAAATTTAAACCCTAAACAAAAAAAAAAACCTAAACTGAAATCCTAAACCTAAAAATATAAACACAAACCTAAAATCAAAATACTAAACACAAAATCAAAACCTAAATCTAAAAAAACTAAACCCTAAATGAGAAAAAGAAAACATGGTTATATCCCATACACACACAAAAAATAATATGGAATTGATTTTTATGTATAAAAGAAGAAGGACAAAATTGGTATTATTGTATAAAATATACTTGTACTCTAGCCAAGAGTTTCATATGGTTAGTTTGTTAATTTTGGTTGTCAATATGATTATTGATTATCATTTCCCAAAAATCAATTAGTTTTAATTTATCCTATTTATTTATTAAAAAAAAAGATAACAATAATAGGCCACGTCCCCACATAACTAATTTCTGTTTGCACAAAAATGTGGTTGGCCTTAGCCCTGAGAATAAAACATTATCCAGAAATCTAACATTCCCACCAATCCCTTGTCTTCCTTCGCGATCCAAACAAACACCAGAGAATGCAAGAAAATCTCCATCTCTGAAATCACACTTTCTCTCAGAAATGGAGACCCTTCTCTCTCCTCGTTCTCTCTCTCCTCCTCTCAATCCGAAACTATCATCACCTCATCAAACCAAACTCACTTCTTCTTCCTCTTCCTTGTCTTTCTCAAATCCCACCTTCTCCGGTCCAAAACACCTCTCAACCCGGTTCTCTAAACCGGAATCTTGGATAACAGAAGCAAAGCAAGGACTCGCTGCTCTATCTCTCTCTCTAGCTCTCAGTTTCTCACCAGTCGGGACTGCTTTAGCCTCTGAGTTTAATATTCTCAACGATGGTCCACCAAAAGAAACTTACGTAGTCGACGACGCTAATGTTCTTAGTCGAGTCACAAGATCAGATCTGAAGAAGCTTTTGTCTGATCTTGAATACCGGAAAAAACTCCGACTTAACTTCATCACTGTCCGAAAGCTCACAGTGAGTTTCAATTGTTTTACATTTTATTAAAAATACAAATTTCTGTAAACCGGAGGGTTGAACCGGAACCGGTTTGTTTGGGTTAATTGCAGAGTAAAGCAGATGCGTTTGAGTATGCAGACCAGGTTTTGGAGAAATGGTATCCATCGATTGAAGAAGGTAACAATAAAGGTATTGTTGTTTTGATCACAAGCCAGAAAGAAGGAGCCATTACTGGTGGTCCAGCTTTTATCGAAGCTGTTGGTGAAAAGGTTCTTGATGCTACAGTTTCTGAAAATCTTCCCGGTATGAAATTTTTCGGTCTGGTTTAGTATAGCGTAATGTTAAAATTGAGGATGGTTAATCAGGATTTTAATTCGGTTCGGTTTAGAGGAAATAGGAACCAAATTAGAATCTATTATAGTGTTGATGGTTTGGACCGGTTTACTCTTATGTTAGAAATCAACTATGTTAAAAATTGAATTGGAAACTGATCAAGAGTCTTTTGAATGTATATATGATGATGGTGCAGTACTAGCGACGGACGAGAAATACAATGAAGCGATATATAGCAGCGCGAAACGGTTGGTTGCAGCGATAGACGGGCAACCGGATCCGGGTGGTCCAGAAGTGAAAGATAACAAGAGAGAATCAAATTTCAAAACAAAAGAAGAAACCCAAGAGAAGAGAGGACAATTCAGTCTTGTGGTTGGAGGTTTGCTTGTAATTGCCTTTGTTGTTCCAATGGCACAATACTATGCTTATGTCTCCAAGAAGTAGTAAGTACTCGGTTCACTCTCATATACCAAAACCGGTCAGGTCAGAACTTTGTTTATTTGGTTAATGTAATCTCGGTATAAGTCGGTTTATTTGAGCAATACAAGTAAATAAATGACGAATGAATGAAACCAACTTTGATAGTAACAACATGTTTTTTAAAATTTTAAGCTTAGAAGAAATGGCATTTGATCTGAAAACGGTGGATCGGAATATTTTCCTGTTAAGATTTGAGATGAAACGAAATGGTTTGCGGCTTCGGTATAGTGAATACCGTCCCAATTTATGTACTCCGAACTATCATCGCAAGCTTTGGCCGTTACTGTTGTCCCGTTCAAGACTTTAGTTTGGCCACATGAAATGCGACTATCGTAGTTTAACGGTGGCCCTCCGATTCCACAACATACCATTATCGGGTTTTCAAAACCTAAAAACCATTGAAAAATCTTGTTGCTAAACCAAAAAAACCAACATTTTTCTCAAGATGGTTAAGAATAGTGAAATGCTTACCAAACCGGGAATAGTTAGCGATGAGATTAGATTTGATAGAGAAGATATCAACGTAATTAACATTTGAATCAGGGAATTGAGCTTGAAATTTGTTGGAGAGAGCATGGAGTTGAAGGTTGAATAGTTTGGCTGCTTGGTTATGGGAACTAACACATCCAAACTCATCAAGTTTTGTTGAGTCTGTCCCAAATTTTGCAATATTTTGGGCCAAACATCCTAAAGGCCCTGTGTTGTGTATCCAGAAGTTTCTGCCTCCTTCTTCATATAGCCTCTACAAAATCAATTTGAATCGCATCATATATCATTAGAACATAAAAATGTGATAGGTGAAAATCTTAATTTTGACATGGTTTGTAGGTCTTTCGGTTGGACAGATAATAACCGACTGAAAACTGATACTCTTAAGAAAATAATGGTGTTTTTCTGTTTCTGTCACATTTCTGGTTTTGTTTAAAAATTAAGTTTCCTATGAAACAAATTTAATTTCAAATATTTTTATTTTTAAAAAGATCCAGATTTCCTTGTTCGAATATAAGTACAAAAAGATTAATTTTGATTTTATTAGCAATTATTTAAGATAAAAGGCATAAAATTAATTTACCTTTAGTCCAGCTTCAAAAGCTTCAAGAATGGAAGGAATAGAAGCAAGAACTTGGTCGAGAGTCTTGGAGTAGAAGGCACCAGCTATATCATTTTGGCCTATATCAATCATGTATAGTCCTTTTGCATAATAATCAAGTGGTGGCAAGTACTTTTCATATTTCCTCCCTGCAAAAATAAAATAAAACATCAATTAAAAAATCTTTGCTTCATTTCTACATCATATAATAAACAAACATCTCATCTAACCAACACCATTTTCAGAATTATCCCCACCAGTTTTAGCAAGTAATTCAAGGGCCCTAGATTTGAACCGGATGAACTGAGAGATTTGTAGATCAAAGGAAAAGGGAGAGACCGAGGTTGGGGTTGCGGGAAGAATGGTAGATCCTGCGGCTGCAAAGTTACACCCTTTTTTGAAATTTGGTAATCCTAATGAATCCAAATAAGGATTTAGAAATGGCATGTCCATTGCATCCACTGCACAACATAAAACACATATCAAACAAATTGTTATCAAGTGGATACAATTGTAGGCCATTTTCAATGAATAACAGCATCAGTTTGTATAGATTAGTGTACATAGAAAATCTATAATAAGACGGCCGTCGCAATATCTTCCTGAGGGAAGGTTGAAGTAATTCTGGCCATATGGAGGATTAACACTTTCGATCCCTGCGGAGATGAGATTGCCCGTATCGGAATTTGAGTCCCCAAAGTTGATGATTGTCGGATATTTTAAGGTTATGGAGAGAGATAATGGCAAGAAAGAGATGAAGATGAAGATAAAGAGAACAAGTGAGAGATTGTTTACAGTGGCAGCCATAGGGTTGGAAATAAACACTAGAGCAGATGTAATGAAGCCAACGAATGGTTCATATATTCGCTAAAGTATAGAATTTTATTTATTATAAGAAATAATATAGTAATCGAAGTTAAAAGCAAAATGTATAGTGTCTACAACAACCATGACAAACTTTAGAAGATTTTGAATCAAAATAATGGTTTGTAGTACTTGAACTTTTTTTCATTTTTTTTATTAAACCCTAGTTTTTGTAAGTTATAGAAATCGTTACTTTCTTTTGTGAAGATATTTTTAAGATTAGTAAATTCCGAATTGAACGGATGTCAGATTCATAAATAAATGTATAATATATTTTAGAACCCCAAATTTAAAATTGAATGGAGGTTAGATTCGTTTGCTTCGTGATGAAGACTTATAGATGAAATGCTTATTTGTAGGGATCATTGATTAGTTTGGTACCGAACGACGAAATTAGGACGCATTGTTTTGTTGTTTTCCATGTTATCGCGTTGCGGATTGCAATTGATTATTGATATGATCACGAGTATTTTATGTAGAATTCCTTTACCAAAATAAATATTAAATCATAAGTATTATGTAGAAATTAAAGGGGTTGCACAAAAAAATATATATATAAAATAAAAAAATGTAGAAATTAAAGGTGCGTAAAGATGTGTTTTGTAGCTATCAAACATGCAATTTTATAAACACAACACAAAATATATTTTGTAAAAAAGAAACAAATTTTGACGAAACTAGAAAAATGTGATGGCAAACAATGAAAAAATTGTGTATTTTAAATAACATATTATTTTTAGTAAAAAAAATAAAATAACGTATTATCGGGTAAAATCAAGTGAGTCATCCATTTTATTCCTAAAAACATACTTATATGATATGATAAATAAATTATTTTTTTGTACCCTTCTCTTTTCCTCTTTTTTTTTGCAAAAAGAGAAGGTAAACTTTGGCATCTTGCATATTTCATAAAATAATCGGTAAAGAGATACAATTGATTATATAAGTAGGTCCCTTGTATATATGATGTAGAAAACGTTAAAGATAATTGTTAAAAGAAATTTTATATATTCAGAAAACCTTACTTAGATAATCTATGACAAGACGTCCATCGCAGAATCTCTGGGAAGAAGTTTTGAAGTAATTTTGTCCGTTAGGAAGGTCAAGATGAATGCCAAGGCCAGCAACGAGATCACCAGTATCAGAATTGGAATCTCCGAAGTTAAAAGCAGCCAAATAATCAAAATCAACCGAGCTTGAATTCTGTATATGCATGGTAACAAATACGAAGACATAGAAGAATCTCATAGTGATATTCATGACGTCTCTATTTTCTCTTTCAAATTGGCTTTTGAGATTCATATATAGCTTCTCTTTATCGACATCTTTTTAGATATGTTTGATGCTTTAAATTGTGGAAATAGGAAAACACTATACAAGCAAGATTGTTGCTTTTTATCTCGCTTGCAAGGCTTACTCTCTCCTCTCACCACCTATCTAAATTCTAAATTTTTATAGAGCCTAATTATTTGTATAATTGTATTAGTTTAAATCAGATGAATCAAAAGAATAATAAACGTTGAAAGTTTAAGACTGTCTTTTGCTACAATTCAGATTAAGCTTAAAAAATATTGAAAATTTGAGACTTCAATGGTTCATCATCATCATCATCACAGCCAAACAACTATAGTAGATGGAAATTTGAGACTACATAGACTTTCTTACTAGAAACAATAGATAATTTAGGTGTTGATGGTTTACTCGCTGCCACCCGCAAATGCAGTTTTCGCGGGTAGTAGCTTTCATCATCATCATCACCACAAACGCTTTCTGCCGATCCCTCAAATGTTCTCAAAATCAAAACCTCATTCCCAGCAGCGTTTGCGATTGTGGGCGGTTGCAGGTGAATAATAGAAAAATAAGATTTGGATATTACAGTCACAATATAAATAAAAAAAATTAATACTTTTAGTCAATGTTCATTAAAATCATATCATAATTTTATATTTATAAGTTCTTCAAATCAAATTTCTCTTGAATAAATGTTCTTTCATACTAATCCATATATATATAATAAAATTGTAATCTAAATTTAATTTTTACATTAAATATATATATTTTTTGAAAATAAAATCATATTTTTGTCTAAATTATATAAATTAAAAGATAGATATAAGCATAATACACATATTATTTTTTATAAAATATATATTTTTAATTATGAAATTTTCATCATAATATAGTTTTGATGTTTTTATTATTATATAATGTGTCTATATAGTTAATTTATTATTTAACCGCTATTGTATCTGCATGTCAACCAGTTATAAATATTCCACCAAAGCATCCATTTCAATCGTTAAGTCAGTCGTACAAACCGCTTAATAACAATACTAATCACAACCGCCCACTTCCGCAAGCTCCCGCACCCGCAACCACACCGGATAAACAAGTCAAACCCTTAGACTGATAGACAAAACATGACTAGTTTAATTTTCTGAGAAAAAAATAATAATAATAATGACAGAGAAGATAGATAAAAGCGAATCTCTTAAATGAGAAAGTTTGAAGGACTTTCCACATGTGGTGGATTTTGCCTCACCTAAATGACAACCATATCCTCTGTTTGCATTCACTCAAGTTTTTTAATATTTCAGTATTTCACCATAAATCTGATTTAGCGTCAATCCTCTCCCCACAGCCCATCTCCTCCTTTGCTAAAGCCCCTACATCCACCGCCGGAGAGATCAGCTACCTTCACTCTTTTTGGACGACGTGTGCTCCTTCATTCCGTAGCAGATTTCGCTTATTCATTCACATTTTTCCCTAAATCAACTTCGATATGGGAGGTACGAAATTTTCTTCACTCCTTCATTTTCCATCACATGTACATCCATAGTATTTTGGTTTAGAATCCCAAATCGTTTTTTTTTACATATATTCTTTTCTCCTTTTTGGTGTTTAATTTTTATGAATGGAAGGAGCACGCTTTAATCTTCTCGTTTATTAGACAATTTAGAATCACGTTCTCAAAACTTACACTCAGGCACGGCCCTGAGGGTGTGGGAACATTGCAAAAGTACAAGATCTTCAATATCTTCTATAAATTTAATTAAGATTTAGGTTTCAAAATTTCAAAAAATAAATCAAAGTATAACAAATAAACAAAGGCGGCTGGAAAAAAAAACAGAGAATTAGGTTTAGTAGTACAAAGAAAGAAGAGGATGAAACACACGTGAAAGACACATGACTTTTTAAAGAGAAAACAATTTTGGGCTTTTAAGGCTATTTTCACACTAAAAAACAATATTAAACTAAAAGCCTATCATCGGGCCCATGGAACATTTGAGTCACATCTACTTACACCATAAGGTAGATACTATGTGTAACGAGTTCGAATAAACCCGGTTTAAGGAGGCCGGGTTAAGTGGTCAGTTAAAAAATAAATCATTTCCCATAATAAATCATTTGTCAAAAATTTGGTGGGTAGTCCTCTTTATTGGGCCACTCTAAATTGCTTATGGTGGGAAAAAACAGCTAGTTTATCAAATGTGGTTGATCTGTGTGACACATGACACACAAGAAATAAGTTGCTCATTTATTCATAAAAGTGAGTGTGCAATCCCTTGGGTAGTCACTTATGTTAATCCACAATTGAATATCAGCATTCAATAAAGTAGGGTATATGTTGTTGTTGTGATTGAGTGAGAGAGTCCCTGTCTCCCTGAAGCAAAACCATGGCTAGTGTTCGCCATGAATATGTTATTGAACGGTGGGAAAGTGGACTTAAACGACCAAAAGAGAGTCCAACACGCTTCAAAGCATCTATTGGGTTCTCACCAAAGAGAGAGTTAGGTTGTTGTTGTGAGTGAGTGAGAGAGTCCCAGAAGCAAAAACCATGGCTAGTGTTCGCCATGAATATGTTATTAAATGGTGGTAAAGTGGACTTAAACGACCGAAAGAGAGTCCAACATGCTTCAAAGCATCTATTGGGTTCTCACCAAAAAGAGGGAGTTAGACTTATCTTGGTAAGAGTCATACGACTTCATCGTAGAGCCTTGTCCAGGGCAAGAGCTTGGCTCCAGATTCTTCAGCTGCCTCACCAACATTTTGTCATGCGTATGGGATGATTGGCGACTGCCGACGGACTTGGCGTTTGGGAAGATTTTTTTTGCAGATGTTACACCTAACAACATTATTATCCTTCGGTGGATATTTTTTCATCATACTTATTTCTGTTCGGAAAACACCTAATCCGAAACTAGGCCTCTCAATAGGGATCATATTTTCAAACACAACCTCTTCAAGAGAACTTCGTTTCGGATTGTTCATTGTCTTCTTCTCCGTCGTCATGGCTACAACTATGGTTTTGAGTCTCTGATCAGGTGTTGATGGGGAGTTTGAGAAAGACATCAGGAATTTGCTTTGTGAAAGAAATTTGGTTGGAGATTTGTAGTTGAGTGACGTTTTCTTATCTCTCTTTTGTGCTATTTATTGAGAGAGTTGATTATTTGTTATCAACTCTTAAGGTATAAAAATCTCCATTGATTAATTAAAACAACTCATCGACTTCAATTTTTTAAAAAGAAAACTGTGAATTGGAAGTCGATGAGTTGTTTTAATTAATCACTGGCGATTTTATTCTTAAGAGTTAGATAACAAATAATCAACCTTCTCAATAAATAGCACAAAAGAGATATAAGAAGACATCAGTGAACTCCAAGTCTCCAACCAATTTTTTTTCGCAAAAGAAATTCATGATGTCTTCCTCAAACTTCTCATCCACACCCGATCAGAAACTCAAAACCATAGTTGTAGCCATGATGGAGGAGAAGAAGACAATGAACAATCCGAACAAAGTTCTCTTGAAGAGGTTGTGTTTGTGAATACGATACCTATTGAGAGGCCTAGTTTAGGATTAGGTGGTGTTCGAACAGAAACAAGTATGTTGAAAAAATATCTACCGAAAGATAATAATGTCGTTAGGTGTAACATCTGCAAAAAATTCTTCTCAAATGCCAAGTCCCTCGATGGTCACCAATCATCCCATACGCATGAGAAAGAGTTAGGAAGGCAGCTGAAGAATTTGTAGCCAAGATCTTGCCCTGGACAAGGCTCTACGATGAAGCCTTATAACTCTTACCAAGATAAGTTTAACTCTCTCTTTGGTGGGAACCCACTAATGCTTTGAAGCATGCTGGACTCTCTTTTGGTCCGTATAAGTCCACTTTCCCACCAGTCAATAACATATTAATGGCGAACACTAGCCATGGTTTTGCTTCAGGGACTCTCTCACTCACTAACAACAACCTATACCCTACTTTATCGAATGCCGATATTCAATCGTGGATTAACAGTAGTGACTACCCACCGTGTTCGATCGTAGATTCTATGGAGGCTATACATACATCAACATGAACACCATTGATCAGTAATTCTCGTACGCCTTGGAGCAGAAATGATTCGCCACATGATACCGAAAGGAAAATTGGCAGATTCGGAGGAAGAGGACGCATGTTAAATGTTATATTAATAGCTGTACACTTGATGTTGGATGAATGTGTTGATTAATAATCGAATATGCATGTAAATCTGATGCAATCATCGTTGTAATGGTCGGGCGGTGGATACTATACTCTACAGGCGTATGGGATTTCAAAATAGATAAGTTTAGAATGGGAAGGAGTATAAATTTGTCTTCTATTGGAACTGTTGAGGGGCTGCGAGTGAGAATCGCTCTCGTGTACGGTGTTGATGCACCTTCTGTTTTCATAGAGATGTCCTACTGGATTGAGGATCCTATTCCTGAGCTGATGAGATCTTCCCTAGATCGGCCCTCTTCAGTTGAGGATGGAATGGTTTTGGATGGATGAAACGAAATGATGGAATGATTGTGAAGGATTAAGCGGCTGTAACAAGAGATCTGCGGAAGGATCTCTCAACACCAAAACTCGTCGATCTCAAAGATATTACACACTAAGAGATGAACAAGACTTAGAGACTTCCAGGATATGACACACCTAAAGAACACTAAGAGAATCGCAGGATATAACACACCAACGAAAATTGATCGAAGTTTAAGAGAGATTTTGATAAAAAGATGGATAAAAGAACTAAAGGATTTCGTCCAGAATATAAAGGGGAGGAGGAGAGAAGAGGTGAGTCAAGGAACAGACTCCTAGACCACCTCGGAAATAAACAAAAACATGAAAACAAGTTTGAACACAAAACATGACCCTTCAAATGCCTTTGGGCGGCAAAGATGAAAAAGAAATGGGCTGGGCCGAATTGTTGATAAAGGGATGGTTTGGAAGTGGACTTAGGCCTCATTAAAAACTTTCTATGGAAAACCATGTGGGACAAAACCATAGAAGGGAAAAAGAGCACACTAAGTACACTTGTCCCTTTATCAAGATTCTTGGGCTGCTAAACAAACCAAAGGGGTTTGGATAACCTCATTCTTGTTCTGACCCAAGTAGTTAAGCATTCTTCCAATAGCTTGGTTGAATAGCTTAGTTCGTGATCTAGTAGCTGGTCCGGTTGGCATAGCCAAAGCTTCCTCAGGTACAAGCTGCTCATCCAACTCCTCCTCAGCTACAAGCTGCTCTTCCAACTCCTCCTCAGCTACAAGCTGCTCTTCCAACTCCTGGTCTTTGTCTAGGGCAACCTCGGCCATGATCATATCATCCCCTCCCTCTTGAAAAGAATTTGTCCTCAAATCTGGATCATCTGCAAGAAAAGGAGATAGGTCAGAAACATTAAAACTCGGACTGATGTTATACTTACCTTGGAGGTTGACTTGGTAGGAGTTGTTGTTGATCCGCTTGGTGATCTCAAATGGTCCGTCAATTCTTGGCATCAACTTGGATTTCCTCTCGGCTGGGAACCTCTCTTTTCTAAAATGGACCCAAACTTTGTCCCCAACTTCGAAGATGATCTCCCGCCGGCCCTTGTTAGCATGCTTGGCGTACTGCTTGGTTTTCTCTTCAATGTTTTTCCTTGCTTGTTCATGAATCTTCTTGACTGTTGCTGCCTTGTGTTCGCCATCTGTGCTAGATCTCTCACTCAAAGGAAAAGGCATCAAATCCAAAGGAGACAGGGGATTGAACCCATAAACAATTTGAAAAGGTGAAAATTTAGAGGCAGAATGCACAGCATGATTATAAGCAAATTCGACATGAGGCAAACAATTTTCCCAAGTTCTCAGGTTCTTTTTAATCAAGGTGCGCAAAAGAGTACCAAGGGTTCTATTAACCACTTCAGTCTGCCCATCAGTTTGAGGATGACAAGTAGTGGAGAAGAAAAGCTTAGTTCCTAATTTGGCCCACAAAGTTTTCCAAAAATAACTAAGGAACTTGGTATCTCTATCAGAAACAATGGTCTTAGGCATGCCATGCAAACGAACTATTTCTCTGAAGAACAGGCTAGCTACATGTGATGCATCATTAGTCTTGTTACAAGCAATGAAATGAGCCGTTTTTGAGAACCTATCAACCACAACAAATATAGAATCCTTCCCTGTCCTAGTTCTAGGCAATCCCATCACAAAGTCCATAGATATATCAGTCCAGGGATGAGTAGGAATAGGTAAGGGAGTATACAAACCGTGGGGTTGAACCTTAGACTTGGCTTGCTTACAAGTGGCGCATCTTTCACAGATTCGTTCAACATCTCTTTTCATGTGTGGCCAGTGAAAATGATCCTTCATGATTTCCATGGTCTTGGCTACGCCAAAGTGACCCATCAATCCTCCTCCATGAGCTTCCCTGACAAACAAATCTCTCAAAGAACAGTTAGGTACACAAAGACGGTTCTCATAAAAGAGGAACCCATCTTGTCTCACATAACGGCCTGAGGCAAATTTAGCACAAGATTGATATGTTTCTGCAAAATCAGGGTCAGTCTCATACAACTCTTTAATTTGTTCAAATCCAAGAAGTTTAGCATCAAGAGTTGAAAGAAGAGTGTACCTCCGGGACAATGCATCGGCCACAACATTGTCTTTACCTTTTTTTATATTTGATCACATAGGGAAAGGTTTCAATGAACTCCACCCACCTGGCGTGTCTCTTTTTGAGCTTATGCTGACCTTTAAGGTGTTTGAGTGACTCATGGTCGGTATGGATGACAAATTCCTTCGGCCAGAGGTAGTGCTGCCATGTATGCAAAGCGCGGACCAGGGCATAGAGTTCCTTATCATAGGTCGGGTAATTAAGAGTGGCTCCTCCAAGTTTTTCGCTGAAGTAGGCTATAGGCTTCTTATCCTACATGAGAACAGCTCCAATACCTATACCTGAGGCATCACACTCAATCTCAAAAGTTTTCAGAAAATCAGGTAACATAAGAACAGGGGCATTAGTGAGTCTGTCTTTAAGAGCAGTGAATGCATCCTCCTGTGCTTGTTCCCACTTGAAACCAACTTCCTTCTTAATGACTTCAGTCAAAGGTGCGGCTATAGTACTGAAATATTTCACAAATCGCCAATAGAACCCGGCCAACCCATGGAAACTCCGAACCTCTCCAATGGTCTTAGGACTTGGCCAGTCGCGGATAGCCTTGACCTTTTCTTCATCCACCTTGACTCCATCTGCACTCACAACAAAGCCTAGAAAAACAAGATTATCTGTGCAAAAGGTGCACTTCTTCAGATTCGCAAAAAGCTCTTCTTTTCTAAGGACTTGTAAAACAGATGCAAGGTGATCTAGATGTTCATTCAAGTTCTTGCTGTAAACTAGGATATCATCAAAGTACACAACAACAAAAATGCCAATGAAAGCTCTAAGAATGTGATTCATCAGGCGCATGAATGTACTAGGTGCATTGGTGAGGCCAAATGGCATAACAAGCCATTCATATAATCCATGTTTAGTTTTAAATGCAGTCTTCCACTCATCACCTTCTTTCATCCTAATTTGATGATATCCACTTTTAAGATCAATCTTAGAGAAAATGCAAGCGCCATGCAATTCATCCAACATATCATCTAATCTAGGAATAGGGTGGCGATACTTTACAGTGATATTGTTGATGGCTCTGCAATCCACACACATTCTCCAGCTGCCATCTTTCTTTGGAACAAGAAGCACAGGAACAGCACAAGGACTCATGCTTTCTCGGATGTGCCCCTTCTCCATAAGTTCATCAACTTGGCGCTGCAACTCTTTAGTCTCAACTGGATTAGTGCGATAAGCTGGTCGGTTTGGGAGTGTGGAACCAGGGACAAAATCGATCTGGTGTTCAATGCCACGGATAGGAGGGAGACCCTGTGGACAGTCCTCTGGAAACACATCTTTAAAATCCTGAAAAAGCTTAGTCATCTCACTCGGAATAACCGGTGCATGGTCAGCAAGACTAGTTAGTGCTTCTTTGAAAACAAATAACAAGAGTGGCTTTTTAGAGTACATAGCTTGCTTAACCTGATTGGATTTGACAAGAAGGTTTGGTTGTTTGCCTAACCTGTCTCTTTTCCAGAGAGTTGAAGTTGATCATGAAGGTATAGCGATTGGTGTAGCCATCATGAATGACCCTACGGTCAGATTTCCAGGGCCTCCCTAGCAGTACGTGACTGGTGTCCATAGGTAAGATGTCGCACAAGACTTGATCCTCATAGCTTCCAATGGTCATAGGCACAACCACTTGGCTCTTAACCTTCATCTCGCACTCATCGTTCAGCCATTGAAGCTTATATGGTTTTGGATGCTTCTGTGGTTTCAACCCAAGTTTCTTAACCATGGCCTCACTAGCCACGTTAGTGCAGCTTCCTCCATCTATGATCAAGCTACAGACCTTGTTCTGGACATAACATCGAGAATGGAACAAGTTCTCTCTTTGCTCCTCTTCATTGGTTCGCACTTGAAGGCTCAAAGCTCTTCTTGCCACATAAAGACCTCCAGGTCTTTCTTCATATTCATCAGGGGATGAGATTTCCCCTTCATCCTGTTCTGGAAGCTTCATAGCCGTCAAGAGTCTTCCACTGACCGGTTTGATCTCATGCTCCAGAGGTGAAGTAACAGAATTTGGTGATGGCTCATCTTCAGACTCATACTCGCCATCTTCTCTAATGATCATAATCCTCCGGTTAGTGCATTCACTTGCATAATGATCTCGGCCTTGGCACTTGAAACACTTGAGGTCGCGGGTTCTTCCTGTGGAAACAGTTTCGCCCTTGCTCTTGTCTTTCTCAGGTAAGGTGGGAAGGGGTTTGAACACCGGCTTGGATGGTATAGGAAACTTGCTCTCCCTGTTGTAACTCGGCCTATGAGTGTCGGCTCCATAACTAGATCGAGAAGGACCCTTCCTCTTAAGTTGTTGTTCCACAAGGACGGCCTTGTGTAACATCTCTTCCAGGTAATCATAGTGTTGCATCTCAACTCGGTCCTGGATTTCACGGTTCAGGCCTCCTAAGAACCTCGACATAGTTGCCTCGCGATCCTCCGTGATATTGGCTCTCAGCAAAAGAGTCTCCAGCTCTTGGTAATAGTCTTCAACGGACCTGGTTCCTTGAGCGAGCTTGCGGAGCTTGGAGTGGAGTTCTCGGTGATAGTGACTTGGCACAAAGCATTGCCGCATGATGCGTTTAAGTTCTCCCCAAGTATCAATGGGATATCCTCCTGAGCAATGGCGGCTAGTGAGATCCCACCAGCTGAGGGCGTAGTCATAGAACTCCGTGACAGCGATCTTGACCTTGTTAACATCAATATAGTTTTGGCACTGGAAGATCAGTTCCATCTTCTTCTCCCAATCCAAGTAGGCATCTGGATCGTTCTTGCCATGGAATGGCGGAATTTTGGCCTTGAATCCTCCCAAGTTCTCGCGACAAGTGGCGGCGTTTCCTTTACATGCGGAGGAGGACGCCCTGACCCGCTGACACCTCGTCCAGGTCAGTCTCCTGCTCCTCTCTATGGCCGCCACATGCCCCAGACACACTCCACAAATCGCTCATACGTTGACACCTCACAAGAGTAGATTCATGTAATCTTGCATGAACTCTTCTCGTAGTGACAAGTGTCCCACTCACACTTTCTTCTTCTCTCATTGTGACACATGTTCTTTTTACATGCACAAATGAGTCACTCACTCCATCATCTCACTCCATGTTCCACTCAACTCTCGGCCGCGTTCCGTACGTTCACGTACCGGCCGAGCGTACCGCGCAAGCATCCCACGGCCGAACATTGCCGTCCGTGGCCGATCTTACGTTCCCAAACGTTCCTCCATCTCTCTCATGACCATTTTCGTGTCTAGTCATGCCCTGGCCACCTGCCCGTCACGCCGACCCGCGCATCCTGTACGTCCGTACAGCGATCCGTCCGGCTGACCATCTCTCGGCCGTAAACACTCTTTTCTTCATATCTTGAGTTTTACTCGGCCAAATCCACTTCTGCTTCGACCGTTCTTCATCTTTTAGAACTTTCTACTCATTCCGAGAAGAAAAATCCGTGATTTCTCTTACTCCTCTTCAGGGTTACTACATTCTCCCCCACTTATTAGAATTCGTCCTCGAATTCCTTTAAGTATGAGAAGGTCCTCCTTGCTCCAACTGAGCCCCTCCTTCAAAGAACTCTGGGTAGTTAGAACGAAATCGTTCCTCATCTTCCCAAGTCACCACCATACGGTTCTGTTTTCCCTCAATACACTTGTATTTGAGGAATCCTCCGATTCTTCAACTCTCTAACACGTCTCAAACCAATCTTGAGAGGTCCCTCCGGGTAAGTTAGGTTTCTCCTAAGCTCTTCCGGCCTCTCCCGTTCAATGGCATTTGGATCCGGTACATGTTTCCTTAGCAAAGAAACATGAAACACAGGATGCAAATTCATGTCTGGAGGTAGCTCCAATCGATAAGCCACTACTCCAACCTTCCCAATGATTCGGTATGGCCCTATGTAGCGCACAGCTAACTTGCCAACCTTGCCGAATCGATCTCTCCCCTTTTGAGCCGACACCTTGAGATACACCATATCTCCGGCCTCAAAATTCACTTCACGCCTTCCTTGATCAGCATACTTCTTCTGCCGATCCTGAGCCTTCCTCATGTTAGTTCGAATAACTTGGAGTTTCTCCATAGTCTCATCGATTATCTGTGGCCCAAAAACTCTCCGCTCTCCAACCTCCGTCCAGCACAAGGGCGTTCGGCATGGTCTCCCATATAGTGCTTCATATGGAGACATGCCGATGCTTGTGTGGTAACTGTTGTTGTAGGAAAACTCTATCAATGGTAGATAGTCTTCCCAAACTCCAGCCCAATCCAATATGCATAACCTCAGCATATCTTCTATCGTTCGGATGGTCCGCTCCGTTTGTCCATCCGTCTCCGGGTGAAAGGCTGTACTAAGGTTTAGTACGGTCCCTAACGCCCCTTGTAACACCCTCCAAAACTTGGCCGTAAACCTTGGGTCGCGGTCAGACACTATGTCGGCCGGCACCCCATGTAGCCTCACTATCTGATTAATATAGAGCTCCGCCAAAGTCTCTACTTTATCAGAATCTCGAATAGCGAGTAAGTGAGCTACCTTCGTCAGTCGATCCACAATGACCCATATGGAATTGTTCATCCGCCCTCTTGCGACTGGCAATCCGGTGATTAGATCCATCGCCACGGAATCCCATTTCCATTCTGGTACAGGCAGACTCTGAAGTAGTCCTGCTGGTACAAGATGTTCCGCCTTGACTTGTTGACACGCTTGGCAGTGCGATATCCATTTCGCTACCGCTCTCTTCATACCCGGCCAATGATAGTACCTTCGTACATCCTTGTACATTTTTGTGCTCCCGGGATGAATACTAAGAACTGATTGATGTGCAATCCTTAATATCTCATCTCGTAGCCCATCTCCTTCAGGAACTGAGATCCTTCCATGGACAAGTAATGTCCCGTCTTCCGCCAATTGATACTCAGTCGTGTTCTCCTCGTCTGAATCCTCAATCTTCTCCACAATCTTACGGATCTTGTCATCCCTAAGTTGTGCTTCACGAATCCTTTGGATCAAACTTGATTGATTCACAGCTTGAAACCCCAAAGGTTCACTCGACTCTCCTTCCAAGGCTGAAAGCCTTAGCATCTGAAACTCATTATTAAGAGCTTCCAACTCTTTCTCTCTACACACCTCCAGCTTTCTTCGACTTAAAGCATCCGCCACCACATTGGCTTTCCCAGGATGGTATTGGATCTTCAAATCGTAGTCCGCGATGAACTCCATCCACCTTCTTTGCCGTAGATTCAAATCTCCTTGAGTGAACAAGTATTTAAGACTTTGATGGTCTGTAAACACTTGCACGCTCTCTCCATAAAGATATGATCTCCATATCCTTAACGCAAACACCACAGCCGCCATCTCCAAATCATGAGTTGGATAGTTCTCCTCATGCTTTCTCAGTTGTCTAGATGCATAGGCCAACACCTTGCCTTCTTGCATCAAAACACATCCCAGTCCAATCCTGGATGCATCCGCGTACACATCATAAGGCTTACCCGGCTCTGGTAATGTCAATACCGGTGCCGTAGTCAATGCCTCCTTAAGCTTCACAAAAGCTTTTTCCACGTCGTCACTCCACACAAAGGGAACTCCTTTCCCAGTAAGCTTTGTCATCGGTTTTGCTATGGACGAAAATCCACTCACAAACTTCCGATAATAGCCGGCTAACCCAAGAAAGCTCCGCACCTCCGTCACATTGGTAGGTCGAGGCCAATCTCGGATTACCTCTATCTTCTCCGGATCTGCTGATACACCTTGTTCAGAGACCCTGTGCCCTAGGAAACCTATCTCTCGTCTCCAAAAGCGGCACTTACTAAACTTCGCATACAACTTCTGATCTCTCAACCTCTCCAAGACCTTCTTTAGGTGCTCCTCATGCTCCTCTTTAGTCCGAGAGTAGATCAGAATATCATCAATGAAGATGATCACGAAACTATCCAAGTAATCGTGAAACACCTCATTCATTATCCGCATAAACGCCGCCGGTGCGTTAGTTAACCCAAACGGCATTACCACAAACTCGTACTGTCCGTACCGAGTATTGAACGCCGTCTTCATCACATCTCTATTCTCAATAGGTATCTGATGATACCCTGAAGCCAAGTCGATCTTAGAGAACCAACTTGCTCCTCTCAACTGATCCAACAATTCATCGATTCTAGGAAGTGGGTACTTATCCTTGATCGTGATATTGTTGATCCCTCTATAGTCGATGCAAAGCCTCATGCTTCCATCTTTCTTCTTCACAAACAGCAGGCGCTCCCCATGGAGAAGAACTTGGTCGTACAAATCCTTTCCCCAACAAATCCTCCAACTGCGCCTTCAACTCGGCCAGTTCCGCCGGAGCCATCCGGTAAGGAGTCTTTGCTATTGGAGACGCCCCGGTATCAAGTTTATCGTGAACGGATTACTCCGGGGTGGAGGTAACTCCGTCAACGACTTGAACACGTCCACAAACTCAGAGACAACCGGTATCTCCTCTACCTTTGTCTCTTTCTCCACTTCAGCCTCAACCACGTTGATCGCAACTAAGTAGACACATCCTTCCACTAGTTGTTGCTGCACTCTCAACGCCGATACCACAGAGACACCCGTACTAGGCCGTATCCCTTGGTATACCACCACCGAATCCAGGTCTCCTCTCAAAGTCACCCTCCCTCTACTACAATCCAAATTGGCTCTATTTCTAGACAGCCAATCCATGCCTAAGATTACCTCGTAACCTATCATAGGCACCACAAACAGGTTTACCCTAAAGATCCTTTCCACAATCTCTAAGGGTACACCTACCACCAAGTCGAAGATCTAAGGATTTGGTTTCCTGGGGTTACCACAGAAACACTTACCTCCTCAACAGGATAGATCTCTCGAAACCTCATCACCACCTCGGGAGTCACAAAACTATGTGATGCTCCCGAGTCAAACAAGACATGCGTGGGGTTACCACCAACATGTAATGTTCCTACCACACCACCACAAGAATCAATCATCAATATGCACATTTATCATATGCAAATTATGATCATTCACACCACACAAACACACAAGAAAAGAATGCAATGCAATCTAATCTATCAATCAACACACATCACAGGCAAGCAATCTAACTTCACACACAAGGAAAGTTAGAACCCAAACAAACCTGTGATAGGACCTCTAGACGATTCTGGAGGTTTACCAACTTCAGCGTCCAAAGCAAACACTCTACCCGCAGTGGCTTGACGCTTAATCGGGGGTTCTTTTGCAGATCGGGTCGCGGCCGGCTGATTCTCTTCCACTCTCGACACTTCCATCCCTCTCAAGGGACACTATGTGCATAATGTTCCCTTTTCACCACATGTGAAACAAGAGACCCATTCCGGAACCCTTAAAGGTCTCCTACTCTCAGTACAATCTCTAGAGATATGTCCTTCCTTTCCACAATTATAACAACCCGTTCCTCTAGGTTTGGTGTAACCTGGACTTGGGTTTCCCCTCTACGTCCTTCTCCTTGACTAGACGTATTACCCTTCTTTGATTGCTTAGAGTTCGAACCACCTTGGTTCCGATTCTCTCTTGGCTTGCTTATCACGGCTTGCTCCTTAGCCACACGTCTCTACATTTACTGCCTTCTCTATCACTTCATAGAGATGGTATATGTCACTGCTTGTAGACGTCCACCAATCTCTGGTTTCAAGCCCTGAAGAAACTTGCGAACCATCGTTCTCTCATCACCATATCCATAAGTCACATACTTTTGTAACTTAATGAATTCCGCCTCATACTCTCTCACACTCCGGTTTCCTTGAGTTAGAGCAACAAACGCTTGCTCCATGCGATCTCGTGCTTCTGGGGGGAAGTACTTTCGCTTGAACTCCTCTTGGAAGCTCTCCCAAGTAAAGATTGTATGGTAAGTCTGACGATCAAGACTGTTCCACCAATCTAGTGCTTCCTTCTCAAGATAGTAAATCGCCACATCCTTCTTGAACTCCGGAGGACATCTAGTCGCTGCAAAGTTCTTCTCAAGGCATTGCATCCACGCATCTGCCGCATAAGGATCTGGGTTTCCCGCAAACTTGTATGTCCCCAACGTTTTCATCGTTGTGACAATCTTCAAGAAGTCTGGTGGAGGAGGCGTTCCATTGCCTGCACCAGCTTGTCCTTGCAGCACCTGGGACAGTAGATTATGAACCATACTCAGGGTTGGATCTACCTGTTGTCGTCCCGGCTGCTCTACTGTATGTTCTCTCGCCTCTGCCCCAGCTCCATTCACTGGTTGTCCCGTCGGCATACTCTGATGCACTTGCGGACCATCTCACTTGGAATGCATTCTTTTCGATCTTATACCCACGGAATGGTAGACTGAAGACGAACTGAATCTCGACAAAGATAAGTACAAGCAAGTAGATCATTTGAGAAGGATAGTGAGAAATTCTCATGGAAGAGTTACCTGAAATCTTCAAAGAGAAAGATGAGCATGGTGGATCTTGTCTAGGAAGGCTGAATATTGGAGTCGAATCATTAGGATTTCACATGGTCAAAATCTCAAATGGATAAGCTCTAATCTAAAATCAGAATGTCCAGATAGAAGATAGAATTGTATTCATGTGTTATGTATCCACACTCATGTATCCATATTCAGGTTTCCACACTCGAAATATTCTCTGTGAAACCAAAATAAACTGTACCATTGTAAATTGTCCACATCTCAACCTTGTCTTTACACTTGAATTGTACACTACAAAACATAAGGAACCCTACACACTGTCCAATTGTCCAAAAACACATTTCACTCAAATAAAACCCAAAAACCAAGATCAATGAGTCTTCTCAAAATGAACTTTACGTCCGAAATGGATGACAAAACTAAACTCAAAAGGCATGTCATACAAAAATGAGCTCTCTGAGTGTTCGATCCAGCGGTCGCCGAAATGATACTGGCTATGATGGATACATATTGGCGATTACATAGGCGATTACAGAGAGGGATGGAATCTATGGGTATTACTAGTCCTGGGACTTTTTACCCATAACCGAAATACCAAACCGAACCGAACCGAATTACCCGATTAGATTCTGTTTCGGTATTGTGCAATTTACCCAATGGGTAAGTTGTCTGAGACCCACGGGTTTCGGTTCGGTTCCGGGTAGGACCCGATACCCGATCGTATACCCGGTTTATCAGAATTAAATTGCATTGGTTTAGCAGTTCTTGGCTTAATCGACGGGTTATCTTTTCCAATGACACACGAATCCACTTTTTGACTCTAACCCGCCGACCTCTTCAACCTAAAAGAAGTCCTAAACCCCATTTAGAAATCTGGATTCCTCAAGTCGACTCTCCGATTCCCGTCAGTCGCTGTCTTCTATGTCTTCGAGAAATCGATCAAAGGTTCGATTATGTCTCTTTTATCTCTTTTTTTCTTTTGGTTCTTAGACTTATAATGAAGTCTGTGCTGTAGAGAAATCAAAGTATTAAGTGTTTGAATCTATTGATAGATTACTTCTTAGATTTCTGGTTCTTAGATTTACTGTTTGTAGGTCTCTTCTCTTGTATCACTGTTCTTTCCTTCTGGTTCTTAGTTTACTTTTTTATCACTGTTGTTCATTCATGTCCATTTAACCTGCATTATTATTGTCTAATGAATGTCTAAAAGAACAAAATCAAATATCTTGTTGTCTTATGTTGTTGTTCATTCATGTCCATTTAACCTGCATTATTATTGTCTAATGAATGTCTAAAAGAACAAAAACAAATATCTTGTTGTCTTAAAAACATCACTCTCATCTAACTGTTTTTGTTTTTTAAACTTGTGTTTTAGATGGCTTCTTCCGACTCTCATCAACTGGATGATGATGAGGTGAATGGAAGAGAAGGCGATGAGGAACATGTTCAGACACCAAGCTCTGCAAGTAAAGGCAAGAGGAAAGCAAAAGTTGATGTGAGTGGAAAAAAAGAAAAAGAAGACAAGGTCGTGGGTTTGGGATCACTTTGATCGACATGAAGACAACTATGACTTGTGTAACTGCAACTACTGCGACAAGGAGATGTGCTGTCCAACGGCTTCAGGCACAACAAATTTGAAGAAGCTCAGTTGTAAGTCATCGAATGTCTGGCAAGCGGCAAATAAGTCTAAGACACAGACTGTGTTGACTCCTAGTAGCGAGGATGGAAACCTTAGTCTGGGTAAGGTTTCCGAGACTGTTTTCAAAGAAGCTACACATGAGTTGGTCGTGTTAGCTCAGTTGCCACTATCTTTCATAGAGGGTGTAGGCTGGAGACATTTCTGCTCAAAGGCGAACTTGTACACGCCTAATTGTCGGAAAACCTGCACAAAGGAGATGTATGCTACTAGGAAAGCAGCAATGAAGAAAATTCTGGGAAAGAACAACCAGAGGTTGTCTTTGACTACTGACATATGGGTCGCTCCACATACCGCAGCTAGTTATATGGTGATAACAGCTCACTTTGTCGATGCTAGTTTTCAGCTGAAGAAGATGATCATTGGGTTCAAGAGTATCGCTGATCACAAAGGTGGCACAGTTTCTCGAGTTCTTCTAGAGTGTTTACAAGAATGGGATATCAAGAGGATCTTCTGCATCACGGTTGATAATGCTACTGCAAATACATCTGCTCTAAAGAAGTTCAAGGAAGCATTCAGGCAAGCAAATGGTGATGAAGCATTTGTGCTTGATGGAGAGTTCTTACATCTAAGATGTGCTACACACATATTGAATCTGATCGTAAAGGAGGGATTAATGGAAGTGGATGACAGTATTTCTGCAATTCGCAATGGTATTCAGTATGTGAGGTCTTCAACGCCAAGGATCAAGTCTTTTGAATTTCATGTGGACTCAGGAAAGATTACAAGGGGAAGCCTGCCTCTGGATGTGAAGACCAGGTGGAACTCAACCTATCTCATGCTTGAACAAGCTCTGAAATTCTGAGGAGCATTCGAGAAGATGAAGTCCAACGAGATACCATACCTTGATTACTTTGACCAAATTGTGGAAGGGAAGAAGAGGATTGGACCACCACAAACAAGCGATTGGGATGCAGGTTGGATCAATTTCTCGAAATCTTTTACAACTCAACTCTGATTCTCTCTGCTTCTAAATCAGTCGCTGCTCACAAAATCTACAATGAGATAGTCACCATTACTAGAAACATTAGTCTGGTAGGTGATCATTCAGGGCCTGATGAAGAGTTGAAGTATAAACCTTTGACTAAGTTAGGGAAATTGAAGAAGTATTGGAATCCGTTTTATGTGCCAAAGCCTGCTGATAGATCCAAAAATTGTGTGATGAATAAGCTGGTGATTGTGGCAAGTATCTTTGACCCGAGGAAGAAGATGCAGTTTGCTCTCCTGTGCTTTGACATGCTTTATGGGAAAGACAGCCTCGAGTATAAGCTTCTTCATGAGAAGGTTTTAGGTATCTTGAGACAGTTGTTCGATGAGTATAGTACACTAACTAGCAAGAGTACTACTAGTGGTGTGTCTAACTCTCAAGGAAAGAGAGCATCGTCTTCTCACTCTCAAGATGAAGTTAAAGCTGAAGTTTGCAGGGAAAAGACTTTCGCAAATGGGTTAGGCTATGAGAGAATGGATAATTTATTTGAGGAGCGTTTGCAGCAAGCATGAATTGAGGAGTCAGCTAATGAGGTAGATCTTTACTTGAAAGAGATTTTGGAGAATCCGAAATTGATGAAAGGTCTAGAGTATGATATCTTGTCTTGGTGGATGAGAAACAGTGCCAAGTTCCCCATTCTCTCATTAGTAGCTAGGGATGTTCTTGCTATGCAAGTGTCATCTGTCGCATCTGAATCTGCATTTAGCACAAGTGGTAGAATGTTAGATCCACATAGGAGCTGTTTGACACATTACATGATAGAAGTCTTGATGTGCACCGAGCAATGGTTGAAATGTGAAATTCATTTCAATGAAAAGGGAGTTTCAACAATTGAGCAAATGCTTTCGGAGGTGGAGCTGCAAGATGACCTTATGAAAGGTAATCTCTTCCGTTATAACTTCATCTCTAAGGGATTCTCATATTTTTTTATTTATAATCTTATGTTTGTTCATTTTTTTAGAGTTTGAGCCTGAAATCAATCAACAAGAAACATGATTCATGCGAATACAAATGAGTAATGAGGTAACAATGGATAATACACTATATGTTATCTGTATGCATCTTATTTGTAAATGTAGACTTGTAGTTATCTGATAAGTATTCAGGAATTCGATTTCATTAAGAGAATCTTTGTTTTTCATTACAATATATGCATCCTTGTTTCTGAGATTTGTTTTTCTTCATTACAATGTATAGGAAGTGGAAGACTAGACATGTCTTCAAGCGCCACCAGCTGATGTCCTCAAGCTTTCTTCTTTTTGTTAAGTTCTTAAAGACTTTAAGTCTTTAACATTCAGTTTTAGTCTTTTATGAAGTATGAGAGTGAACTCTTCTCTTTTGTTAAACTTTGTGAGTTTGTGCCTTGAATCTCTTGATCATTGAAGTTTGAATTTACTTTGGTTGTGAGATACTCAGATTTCTTGTTTTCAGTTTGAAACTTTGATGTTTGCATTGTGAAAGTACTTTGAATCAGTAATGGTGTTAAAATTTTATGAATTGTTTGAGTTTCAAAGTTTAGATTTCGGGTTTTCTAGTCAATTTTCGGTTTTTTGGGTATTATCGGGTACAAAGAATCAGAACAGACCCGAACCGAATGATACCCAAATAAGTCCGGGTAATAAACGGGTATAAAATCTGATACCCAAATGTACCCGAACCCGAAAGGTACCGACCCGAAACCGAACCGAAAAAATCGGGTCTTATATGGGTATAAAGTTTAGATATCCGAAATACCCGAACCCAAAAATTTATACCCAAACCCGAACCGAATACCCGAAGTCCCAGGCCTAGGTATTACATACACAGGTCTTGCAATCGAACATTTATGAACAACCAGCCATAACATGTATGAACTTTTTCCGGTGGTATGCCATCGTCGGAGAACAAAAGTGATTTACGCCATCAGTTTTCAGTTTTTTTCACCTCACTCCTCATTAAGGGTAAAACAGAATTTCCACTCACTATATTCCAAACAAAAGTCCACCTCTATCAATAAGTGTCTATATGTGTTATGAAACTCCTATAAGTCACTTTTAGTGTAATTCACTCTATATTTATCCCCTGTTAAAGTAACTAGAGATTATACCCGCGCAAGCGCGGGGTTGTTTTTCGGTTAATCATCATTTATATATTTCTAAAATATATTATATTGTTTTTTGTTATTCTATATAATACTCACGATTTGTAATAGAGACTCTGTTATGTTTATTTTAAATGGTCTTTTCTGTATAATACTGAAGATCTGTAATAGATACTCCCGTTATGTTTATTTTAAATGGTCTTCTAATTTTTCCAAAGATTTGGCAACTATTTCTAGAATTTGTTAGTATTTGCATGAATATTTATTATATTTTTAGTACAAAAACGGTTGTTTAGTGAACTTAGAACTTCCTCTAGTCACCATCGACCTTCTGATTTTCTAAACTCATCAAAATTCTTATTAACATCATCTTGAGCCATGTCCGCCTCTTAACTACATTCAACCACCGCCTCAGTCACCTTTTGAGCCGTGCTCTTTGCCATTTTTCGTCTGACATGAATCTTTTTATCTCTATTATAAACCTTTTTAAATTTTTTATATACAGTTACAAATAAACTTATAATTTTTTATATCCTTATTAATTTGTAATTCTTAGAAAATCTATGTTGTTTCATATATTATTTTAAACATGTTAATTTTTTTCTTATTTGTAGTTATTTTTATATATTTTGAATTATCAAGTTATGTAAAAAAATGTTTTGTAACTTTTATAAATCATATAATATCTATTAATTTTCTTAATTAATATTTTTAATATTTTATTTTGTGAAATATATTTTAGGATTTTTGGTAAATAATATAATTTATTTAAGGAAATATAATAACAGTAAACTGTGTAAATTAATTGATTGACTAATTTTAGTTTTAATGTTTGTCATTTATTATTTTCATCTCTTTTGTTTTATAATTTTGGATTAAATGTGGGACCATTGTCTCTATAAAATTATGCTGATGTGGATGGCTTAGGAGGAGAGAGCAACTCCCTAATTATATATAAGATTTTCACTAATGTTATGATTGTCATTTCAACTTACATTTTCACCACCAAACTATACTACATGTTTTTTTTTTTTTTTCAAACAACTGAATACATAGATTAGCTTTGGTTACACCTCACAAAGGAGGAAGAGATACCAGCAAAAATGGGCTGAATCTAGAAATACATTAAGCACAACAAAGCTAAAGTAGAATAAGGATAACAACATGATAGATTCGGAATTACCACATAGGATTAATTCTTCCTTTGAGATAGATAGAGAGGCATGATTTCCTGAACACAACATCCAATATCTAAATTCTTTACCTGAAGCTAACAACAAAAGACCACTAAACACCATGACTACAACAATCAGATCCCAGTCCTCGAGAGATTGAATTGCTGAGCTTTGAAGAGAGGTAGATTTGGAATCAACTTTCTTTAAACCCAAGACCACTGAATGGTCAGAAATTGCTCGCAAGGCTAGAGCCAAAGCCATTAAAACAGAGCTTAACAATAATCACTCTATAAAGGAGGAGAGCATTCTCGGTTTCCAAACCGAGTACAATTTGCCTCTCATTGAGAGAACCAGGAAAAACATGATTCTCTTTTTCCTCAAGAAGGAAAGTGAAGAAAATCTCTCCTTAAAGGAGACCAGAGTTACCACCTTGTAGAGTCTTCTAGGTAGAAATAGCTTCGCGAGAGAGCTCCCTACGAAGAACTCATGGGTCAATCCCAAAATTTTAAAACGCCGGACCAAGATGTGCAAATTTACGAAACCGGGAATCCAAGATCCCGATGTCCATTCACCGGCGAGGAGTAGGACGATAAGGTTCCATTGCCCAAAGCTTAAGGAGATGATGGATAGGAACGATAGATTTGGAAGAATGACGGAAATAAGATGTCCTGGATAAGGAACGAGTGAGTTATGAGATGAGTGTGAAGGGTAAAGAACCAAGGGTCGAAGGAAAAGCTGTAGATCCGGAGGTTTTGGCATCACTGTAAAGATGCTCACTCTGAGTTAGACTTCACGGGTAGACTTCATTAGAAATTCGTCATTTGAAAAATTGCAAAACTAGTCTATTAGTCTTCACATGGAAGACTACAAAATAGACTTCCTTGTGAAGTCTAATATTTAATGTTTTATTTGAAAACGCTTTTTAGAAAATATATAAGAATTTTTAAGATTTTTTGAACAATTAGTTGAGTTAGTCTATTTAGTTGCTTGTGTGTTAGTTTGACATGCTTATTCGTTGTATATCGTGAAAACGGTTTTCTTGTGAAATTTGAATATTAGACAATACTAGGTAGACTTCTAGGTGAAGTCTACCAATAAGTCTACAATGAAGTCTAATGCGGTTGTTTTTGTTTACTTGCAGGAAATGGTTTACATTGCATCTGTTTATGGAGAATGGGTGATAAAGGACAATTTGTCTTGGCATTTTGAGGTTGATTATCGGAAAGGAGGTAGAATGTTCTCGTTGAGGGATGGATGTACACATGATGAGCTTATTCAAATGGCTTTAGAGGATTATTCGCTAACCAAGATCGGACACCGTTTGGAAATATCATATCCATTACCAGAAGTGTTCACTCAGCAAACGTGTAATGATTCTCCGCCCATGTTTGTCACAAACGACAGACAAGTCGAAAGCTTGATCGAGCTAAGTAGAAATCATGGTGTACGACTTTGTGTCTCTAGCAAAGGGAAGGATGAAGACAACGTAGATGGACCTTTGGATGAAGACTTAGATGAAAATCTGGATGATGAGTTGAAGGAAGAGTTCGATGAAGAGTTGGATGAAGATTGGAGCGCAGAACGAGAAGAAGTGTCTGAAGAGTCGGGTTGTGATGAGGATGATGTAAGGGAAAAAGCTTATGAAGGCGATGATGACACACACGCGGACTACAGTCAGTATGGGAAAATTAAAGATGAAGACGTTGTCATTGATGTTCCTTTCGATGATCCCCGCCTTTTAGGGCGTGGTGTGGGTCATCGTATAGGAATTGATAATTGGGAAGACAATATTTACGAGCACCAGAGCTTTGATACCAAGGCCCAACTTATCTCTGAGTTGCGTTTGACCGCGGTGATGACAAGATTCTCATTCAGGATAGCTGCGTCTACAAGAAAAGTGTTTGTGGCCAAATGCAAAGTCGCTGGATGCAAATGGAGGCTTAGAGCGGCCGTAAAGAACGAACCCTCCACGTTTTGGGTGACAAAGTACGTGAAGTCGCATACATGTTCTGTTTCTGATCGAGTACGTAACCATAAACGTTGTACAACGAAGTATATTGGAAAGCTTTTTCTTGATCGGACAGGGCTCATTGAAGGAATTGTGCCGCAACACATAAGAGACTCTATGAGGAGGATGTTTGGAATGAAGCTCGACTATACGGCTTCATATAGAGCTTTGAAACATGCCCAAGACTTGGTGTGGGGAACAGCTGAAGAAGGATACGCGAATCTGCCTTCTTACTTGCAAAGAATCAAGGATGCAAATCCGGGAACTGTGACTGACCTTGTCTGTGACTCACAGGACCGTTTTAAGTACTGCTTTCTATCACTCGCCGGTTCTATATCTGGTTTTCAGTATTTGAGGAGAGTGATTGTGGTTGATGGGACTCATCTTACTGGGAAATACGGAGGAGCTCTACTCGTGGCTGCCGGACAAGACGCCAACTTTCAAATATTCCCGCTAGCTTTCGCAGTGGTCGATGCTGAGGATAGTGAATCATGGGAATGGTTTTTCAACAAGCTTAGAGATTGTTTCAGGCAATTTCCGCCAATGGCGATAGTCTCTGACCGTGCCGCTGCCATAGCTAGAGCATTGGAATCGTTATGCCCTGGGCATCAAGAGGAATATGCTACTATCACCTCCAAGGTAATATAGTAAAGGACTTCCACGCAAAGGAGATAATGTATATGGTTAAAGGTGCAGCCTACGCCCATACGGTGCCTGAATACGACCGTTACATGGACCTCATAAGAGCTGCGAACCCTGCCCTAGCTACTTACTTAGAGACCGCAGATCCGAAGTTATGGTCGAGAGTTCATTTTGAAGGTGATAGATACAATATAAAGACGAGCAACATCGCAGAATCTATTAACTCGGCTGTCAAGAAAGCAAAAGGATTACCTATTCCTCGTCTTTTGGAGTTTATTAGGGAGAAGCTCGGGAGATGGTTTAGCAAGAGGCGGGAGGATGCACTGAGTCTCACAACCAGACACAGCAGAGGTGTTGAGTACATATTGGCCATACGGTCTTACTATGCGGGAAGTATGATCGTAGATCGCATAGACGCTTGGCGCTTTCATGTTAAAGGCGGGAGACGAGATTGTAATGTCGACTTGGAGAATCGAACATGCTCGTGCGGTGTGTATAACGTTGAAAAAATCCTTGCTCTCATGTTATTGCAGCTGCAGCCGAAGCTAACGTCGACATGTCCTATTACGTATGCGCCACTCATTCGACGCCTTCCTTGTTCTCAACATATGCACATCCGATTTACCCCAAAGAGGGAACTGACTCCCACGTGAAGCCTGTTCGCTGTTTGCCTCCAGGGGAGAGTGTCCCTTCTGGAAGGCCGAAGAAGTCGAGGTGGCAAACTTGGCTAGAGATGTCTAGGAAGAAAAACACAAAACCAAGGAAAACGCATAAGAAGTACAGCTGCTCTAAGTGCAAGGAACCTGGTCATACTCGCCCCAATTGTGTAAGTTTATAAAGCTGTCCCTTCATGCTTTGCATCCACATTGAGAGGAGCTGACATCTTTCATTTTCTGCACTACACAGGTCGCTGAAGACTGAATTGTGTTTTTAGTCTGTCGCACAGAAGTCTATATTGCAAGTCTATCTATGAAGTTTATTGTGAGTCTGGCCAATTTGTATGTTTTGCGTGTTTTAGGTGGATGAAACGGAGAAAAACACTGGTTTTTAGTTTTCGTGAAGTCTGACACAGAAGTCTATATTAAGTCTATCTATTAAGTTTACTTTGCGGCCAATTTGTATGTTTTGTTCGTGTTTTAGGTGGATGAAACGGAGAAAAACACTGGTTTTTAGTTTTTCGTGAAGTCTGACACAGAAGTCTATGTTGCAAGTCTATCTATGAAGTTTACTTTATGGATGAAATGGAGGAAAAACAAACAAATTCAAATACAATAGTTTACCAAGTGCACAATATACCAAAACAATAGACTTCTGAAATGTGAAGGCCGATCAGCGATAGATTACAAAAGAATAATTAGCCTACACCCATCATCGGGTTCTAAAGAGCATTAGTTTACGGGATTACACCTACACCTTTCATAATCTCTCGTCATACAAATAAACATTGTCCCAATCATCTGGGTCCTCGACCGGTCCACGGCAGTTGATCTCATGGTACATATCAGACGCAATCTGCTCCCTAAACATGGTGATGTTTTTCTGACACAACGTCTTCGGAAATGCGGCATATCCGACTGCCAGGCACTCGAGGTACTTGAGGACAAACACGCCACAATCTCCAGCCCCCACTTGCTGCGGCACATCCTTACTCGGACGGCTGTGCGTGTACTTCGCATCGAAGTAGACGCATTTGTCCTCAGCCTGAGCCGCGGAGTGCATAAGATTCGGCATCATCACCGCATAGGGTTCCACCAACAAGTCCATTTCCGCATCATCGAGCCAGTCCACCATACTGTCGTAGATGGTAATGTGCCTTTTGGGTATGGAGACATGCAGCGCGACCCAATGCTTATTCTTGATATTCAATGGAATGAATAAATCATCAACATCATAACCCCATCGCTTATTGCTGGGCTGGCTTTTCGGGAGATTACCAAAGTACCAGTCCAGCGAATTAGGAGGCAGCATTTGACATCTCTGAAACCTGGGCCAGTCCCTTTCCCAAAATTGAGTGATATGGCTGTTAAGGAAGCAGATCCTATCATTTTTAAACAACTCTGGACGCGTTGCTAGGCGTTGAGTCATCATGGTGGCCTGATATACCTCTATTTTACCTACTTTTTATGCTATTTTACTATGGTTTTCTAATGGTTTTCTAGTGGATTCTTGTGTTAAAAGGTAGTTTTTATGGATTTATAGTGCAAAGAGTCATTTTAGGTAAAAAGGTGCATTATGGAGCAAAACAGAGGATTTGGACTCTAAACCAGTTCAATGCCCATGCATCAACTTTGGATGGAGCTAGAAAAAGATCTACTCAATGGATTTCATCAAGACCAGTTTCCTGCGTGCTCTGATTGAGTTAAATTTCCAACGCAACTGGAATGGTTTCATTTGGATGAGTAGAAAAGGAGTTATAGACAAAAGAGTGAAGACTGCTCCAGACGGCTCTATCGAGAATCGGCGCCCAAACCGCGCAGTCCGGCTGGCCGAGGAACACACGTTCCGCGCTCGGCCAAAACTGTGTCCGTCCGTCTGAAGTCTCGGCCAAAGTCCAAAGCCGCTCGGCCGATCACGCATCACGACCCGGGAAACTTAAACCCGCGGTCGGCCACGCTACAACCGCCCACGCCACGCTGCGCACGACCAAAGCGCGCGAGCCGGGAAGTAACGCCTCGCGGCCGCGCAACTCGCCTCACGTACCGCGCACGAACGATCAGTCCGACCCGGGGAACTATGCCTCGCATCCGGCCGAGGATTTTCATCGGCCAAATCTCAATCCGTCCGAACGCCGCGGTCGACCCGAAGCCGTTTTTGAAGCCCAATCCGCACAACTCAAGCCCAAAGCCGGCGCTGTGATACCCTGTATCAAGACCTAAAACATCCCAAAGGCCGGGATGGGAAGATCAACACTCTGGGATTGGAAGACAAAGACGTGGGATCTAATACGGAGATCACAACGAAGACTTGGATAAAGACATGATAAAAAACGAACGAGCAGAAGTGAAGATACAACAAGATTGTCCAGGTGGGACGATCATTGTACGAACATGGGAAGAGTCGACAGGACAACGAAATATCAAAGTTCTCCAAATCAAGAAGAGAAGAGTTTGGACGACATAAGAAACAATTCTAAGAAGTTTGGTCGAAGCATAATGCAAATCGGACGAGCAGATTGAGAGATGGGACGAACGCCCAAGAGAGAAAGGAGAAGAAGAAGAAGAAGATCCAGAGGCGGATCGGGTTCGGGCTAGAGCGGGGTAGGCTAGGAACGGGGTCAGCCGGGTCGTCTAAAATCTGTGAGTTCCGGTAGCTAGGTTATAGTTTATTTCCTTCTATCGTTTATAAGTATGTGGTATAACTCTCTAAACAATAATGTTTAGTAAAAATTGTGGAGAGTTATGCTGCAGAAATCTCTGTGAGGTTGTGACGGGTAATCTTCTAGAGAGAGAAGTTATGCCGTCAGATCTCTTGTGTTGTGAGGTTGTGTCAGGTAACCTTCGGGGAAGGTTATGCTGGCAGATCTCTTTTGTGTGTAAGATTGTGATGGGTAACCTTCGGGGAAGGTTATGCCGTCAGATCTTGTTTGTATAGATGCATGTCTATACTTTAGGTGATGTGAGATTGTGGATGGCTATGCCGCCAAATCTCATAGATGCATCGGTTGTGGGGTTATAGCATGGCTATGCCGCTAAACCTCGAGTGCATGCTAACATGGTGGTGCGTAAGGCCCATATGTTGAGTATGACTCCGATGTGGAAAGATCACGGACGGCTGAGCCGCCAGATCTTTCGAGGTTCGTGTGGGTACTCTTCCGAGGCAAGGGAAGCTCTGCCGCAGAACCGAGGGTATGAGGCATAGTGGTGCGTAAAGGCCCATATGCTAAGTACTGAGAACATGTGGCGTGTCTAACCACATGTTGTTTAGGAAGGTGTAGTCAAGCGCATTCTCGCACGTCAGAGCCCAACCGGATTGGCAGCGTGGAGGCTGTGCATGAAGGGAGGAAGACTCGGAGGATAACCTGGTCAGCTGCCTTGGCCGAGTATGGTACCATATGACGATATGGGATCCAACCAGACATTGGCATGGTGCGCCAGTAAGGCCAATAGATGGGAGGATGAACCGGGTACCGCGATGGACTGTAGTGCCCGGGTGAAGGCGTTCATCTAGTTTCTGTGTGATTCCGGATGAGCGTGAACCTTCACAGGCGTGGGCTGAGAATGTGGCTTATGCACCTAGAGGCCTCACTGCATGTAGAAGTCAAGTATTCCGCTACTTGATTAGGGTTGCTTTGCATATAGATTGATTGTGTGCATTGCTTGATTGATTGATTGCTTGTTTGAGTGTTGTTATAGTCTTGGATTGATCGTACCTGTTCTTGTTTGATTGGGGTACGGTTAGTCTTAAGGCTATAGCAGCAATATTGCATAATTGCTTTGTGTTGCAGGTGGCGGATGAGATCCCGCCTTTTTCTTTTGGGGTTTGGGTTTGGGGAATAACCTTTGTATAGAGGGTCCTGAACTCACTGAGTAACATTAGGTTACTCATGATGATTATTTGTCTTACAGGTAACCCTTAGTTGAAGCCCGTGGACGGAGGCAGAACAGCTGAAGACCGGAGTAGATTGGCTTGGCTTTTGTAAAACTCGATTTCAGGTTATTATATGCAATAGCTATGCTTTGGGCACTAGGCCTTGCCGGCAAAATAGTATAAAGTTTTGTAAGAACTTGTTTTGACAAGGTTATTATATAAAGTTATCTTTTTACAAATCTGGCCTCTCGAATGATATTAGCTCTTGTCCGGAGCTAACACAACTCAAGACCGGAGGAGCAGGTTGCAAAGCCTTAACCGATGGTCGAGAGGGTCGTATTCATCGGATTAGCTGACTTGGGCTCTGATTTGTTCTTAGACCCAAGACGGCCTATCTTATGAACCTCGACACTTGTGGCATCTGCGGTTTAGTCTATTCATAGACCGAACCGGGGGTGTTACAGGCGCCGCCCTAGCTAGATTAGGTTTAGCCGCCTTACATACTTAGAGCATTATAAATACTTCTTTTTAGCCTTGTAACTCAAGAAGGAGAGAGACCACAATCTATTTTACATCTTAATAAAGTTTTGCTTGCTTTTACTTTGTTCTTGCTTGTTACTCTTTCTAGAGAGGATTCGAATCTCTGTTCTTATGAATATGAATTCGTGTTCCTTCTCTATGTCTGAGTAGTTTACTTGTTAAGTGATAGGAAGTCAAAGGATAGCATTCATGTATGCTTGATGATTGATCACAATTAGGGTTTTACTTATAATCTCCATCTTTGCTTATACTTAATGCTTGTTGTTAATCTGGCCAATTAGCATATGCCTTTAGGTTGATTTGAGCCTCGACAGTGCTGTATCATTCGCCTGAACTAGTATTTGGTGGGCAATCTCTTTTAGACTGCGACAGTTGATCTACTTGTAGGTTGTGAACAATTGATCTTGATCGAACTAATGCTTGATTTAATCACCTAGGGACATACCAAAAGTTTAGCGACTAGGTAGATTAACAAAGGGGTCGGAGCCTCGACAGTGGAATGATCATACCATAGTGTTTCAAGTTCTAGATTAGCACCTAAGTGCGGTAACCCTAATTGATTGATTTCATGCTTCTTGAATTGCTTATCTCAAGACTATCCTATTGCTTAGCCTTTCTCTCCTATTGAATTCTCACTTTTTATTACTTGCATGCTTTACTTTCACTGCACTCAACCAACTTATACTTTTGCCCTAGCTGATCTCGAACTCATAACTTGTAGTGTGCAATCTGGTCCTTGTGTTCGATACCCGTTTACTACTTCTGACCTGTGCACTTGCAGAATCAGGGATAGGAAAGGGGAAGACCTGATCCCGCGATCATGGCCCAGTACTTCATATGCTACAATGGTAACGATAAATCGAGTATGAGGACTATCTATGAAGTCTATGTCAGAAGTCTAACATTGAAGTATAATTATGAAGTATATTTAAGAAGTCTAGCAATCAGAACTTACGCTATCCGACAGCCATTCCAACCCCGTGAGCAAAGTAAACCACCAGTGCCATTCCGGGTAAGCTACCTTGTCCGGCTCTTTACCTGCACAATAGCCCCTGAAACATTGGTAAATTCTCGTAAGCCTCTTTAATTTGGTCAAACAACGAAGAGACAGTAGAGTTTAGAGACTCACGGTAATCCGGAAACGAATGCCAGCATTGGTGTTTTCCTTTCCTCGAGAGGTGGAGCAAATGGATTATACCCTAGAGGTTCATTCCCACCGGTTGCTTTCCCACCATGTGCTTTCTTAGGTTCAGCTGCTTTCTTCGGAGGAGGTGCTTTCTTCGGAGGATCGCCTTTCTTTGGACGGAGGATCGGCTTTCTTCTAATTACCTGCTTTCCTTGGTTTAGGGATGATCTTAGGTATTTCGGTGGGGATTTGGGTTTCTCCGGGGGTTGTTTAGGATGATCCTTCTAGCGGTGCTGTTTCCCTCGAACTCACCTTCCTGTGTAGACGCCAGCCTCCTGACTCTCTCACTTTTTCCTCTTGCTATAACATTCGCCGCCTTGATCAGCTCTTCATGTTGCCTTTTCTCTTCGGCTTCCTCAGAATCAGTTGGAATATGTGTCCGGACCCAAGTGCAGTCTGTATCCTCGTCGCCGGTATTATTAACATTGCTCAAACACAAGAGAGATAGAGAGAGACAAAACAGATAATGAGTGTCGAGAAGTTTGAACTTTATTTAAATAGAAGGGAAAGTGTACAACGCAAAACACAACATACACATCTCACTTGTTCTTTTTCACACCCAACCTATTACTCCTACGCACATATCTCTTTTCAACAAATTTACCATCATTTTTAGAAGTACTAACCGTTGCACCAGAAGTCCCTTCACCATCGTTGGACTTCTCCAGCTTCTCATCGGACTTCTCCAGCTCCTCATTCTTCTGATCCAGATCCTCATTCTTCTCCAGCTCCTCCTTGGCCTTCGCAGAATCCTCATTGGAATGCACAGGCTTCTCATCGGACTTCTGAGAATCCTTAGGATGCGAAAGCTTCTTCACAATCCTTCCTACCACAGCGACTTGAGCAGTGAGGACCTGAATCTTTTCCTGAGTCTTACTCATCTCCTCGAAGTGTTTTTTGTTGAAGTCTTTAAAAAGCTCCTCAATCTTCGCCTCAAGACCTTTCCAACCAGCACCAGATGCCTCCGCAGGTGAACCACCTAAGTCCGAGCTCTTTTGACACTTATCGCTTCATCATCATCAGCCTCATCAGAGAGACTCCTCTTGCCATGAGACTTCTCTGACTTCACAGACTTCTCGGACTTCACCTTCTTAACCACCGATATCCCTTCTCTAACCCAGTCAGCTGGTTTCCAGACCCATCCTCCACCAAATTCCCCAAGTAAGGCCTTGATGATGTTGTCCACCTTCTCGTCATCTATTTCCTTGTCCCAACGTGGGTACACGTCTGCCTTGTCCACCATTACCATGTGATTGAAAAGCACCTGCAAAACCGTTATCAGAAAAGTCAAGAATTTTTGGATATTATGATTAATATGCAGAGAGTACAAGGCAAATGAATTACCTGCTTCTTCATGGTTCCGATAACATATCTCTTCCCTCTGATTCCATTGAATGCTAGCAGCGGTGGCTCAGGATTATTTGGCCTCGGATCACCGTTTTCTTCTCCGAACCTCGGCATAGCATAGTACGCCCACACTTGCACGACTTCAGCAAAGCCTTCGAGGCTGAATGGCTTGGACACGTCTGCTTTCTTTATGGACTTGATGAGGGTCTTGAAAGCTACTCGCCCCCAGGGATAGTTTTCAAACTTCTCCAAGTCCATAACTTGACTAGCCAGTGCTACTCGTGTATGAGTGGAACTTTTGCGAGCATCAATGAAGCCAGCGTATACGGCCAAAAAACCAAGTCTCAGCCTATCCTCTCTGCTCCACTCTCCGGCCCACTGGCACGCTGCTAAGAGTTCGTCAACGCTCGGACCAAGCTTCTCATTCACACCAAGCTTCCGCCAGAAGTCTTTCATCTCGTCTGTGTTAACAGTCTCTGGCTTCGTCAGCGCTTCTTTATACTCGCAGTTAAGCCCGGTGATGTGTTCAAACTCGTTCAGAGAAAATCGCACTGGCTGTACACCCACGGCACTCCATATCTCATACTTCTTCTTGCATGCTACTTGCATAGTGAGCATAGTCTGTGCCACCTTCGATGCCCA